CTACATTGGACTTAACAGAGGCCATCACTAAGTAAATAGAACTGATACCATTTATCAGGTTGTTGGTGTTTTTCTTGATACTAATTGTGGTAAATAATGAGAATGATGACCAAAAATGACAACGGCTGTAAGAGTGGTAAAAGTCCAGCGCTCTAGTGCACTCAGATGCCAGAGGCTGGGAAAGTGAAAGATGAGGCACATGGAAGTGCAGTTTTGAAAGAAAAAGTGGTACCAAATGACTGCAGAACAGCTAATCTTTCAATTTCTTAAAAGAGCTCTATTTCAGACAAGAGCAAAGTTGTACCTTTAAGCTGAATATAGCAGGCCTGTGTTTTCCTGTATTACTTGAGAAAAAGTGTGGGAAGAAAAGCATAGCTAAAAAAGCAGGATGAAGTGCAASCTTTGCTCTCACAGATGATACCTGGGCTAAGGAAACATATTAGAACAGATACCAAATAGTAGATACGCTTCAGTGAAACACCTGAAATGGAAGTTGTTGGCAAGGCTAGAGGTACCCTAGAGTTTAGGGGAACATCAACATGGGTGAAGTGCAAGTGCAAAGGGAAACAGCTTTGGGCAGAGYTGAATGGAAAGCGTGGGGCTGAGAGGTGTCACTGGTGAACTGCTGGGGAATCATCCTTGAAACAAATCTTGTTTCATATATCCCTTTAATGTTTTTGGCACAAAAGCAAGTGTGCTGATGACACAAAAAATGGAAAGAATTGTCATTAAAAGCGAGTGAGCTAATAAGRTCAGTGTAAGGGCTCATCATTCGGAAATGACTAGTGAGGATGAGAAAGTACAACTATATTCAGATGTGAACACCATTCCCAATGAGAGGCAATCACACAAAAAGCCAACAATCATTAAACAAGTATTCGCGTCCACATGTTCATTGATCCCTAATGCTGCCCCTCTTCAGAGAGAAGTTGTTGARCCAGCACATTCAGAAATGACTAACTTGCATGGTTAAAGAAACAGACAATGTCTTTTAGGGGACTAAAAGAGCACAGCTTGCGTAGTGCAGCAACATGAAGGCTRAGAGAGGCTATGGTTGCCATCTGTCATCAGCCGTGGAGAGGACCGTGTAAACGCAAAGGGAATGTTGAATATGAGGATAAAGCTGAGCATGAATATAGAAGATAAAAGCAGGCACCTAATAAAGCATCTCAGGTTCTAGTACATCCTTCTAGTTGGAACAGTAAAGGCAAAAACCACAAGCATTTCAATTCTAAATGAATCCAGAGACCTAGTGCTGTAGCCACAAGGGATACTAAATACGATTGCTCACCAAGTCCTTGCCCTTCCCAAGTTCCACCCCTTTCTCCATGAAATAAAAATTAACTAAGATAAAATCTTAAAACCTTATGCTGTATACTTTGACAATATCCTTTACAGTTTCTTCTGCTTACCAGGATATGAGTCGAAGCAAAAGTCTGTTCAGTCTGTCCTGTCTGACTCACCAAGCGATGCCAGTGGCAGTACAATTGTTTAGCACCTGGAGAACTGGGATGTTGTGAACAATTGCAGCAGCTCTGAACAAATCASAAGGAAGATGGAGAACAAAGCTCGTGAACAAGTCTTTTTTTTAGGTAAATTATGACATCACTCCTTGTTTTTCCTTGGGGCAGAAATAGTATGTTACTACCACAATTCCCTCATTTTCACTAACAATTTCAGAGGCAATTAAATGATTATGGAAGATGCTGCTATCTCAAGTACAACCACTCTACAGTAGGGATTAGGAGAGCAAGAGGTTTGAAACAGAGTGTGCCTATACCAATTTCAGTGCAGCTTTGGATGGCCTGGAAGAGCACCAGCATGTTCAAAAGATGACACCAGCTCCAGGAACTACCCATGGAGCTGGGTGTGAAATAGGGGAGCTGTGTACCCACCTGCAGCCAGGGCATTTCTCTCCTACAGCAAAGGTTACCTGTCCTCATCACCCGCTCAAGCCCTTCCCAAYCCTTCCATAGCTGGACTTTATGAAGTGCTTGAAATGGAAATTTCTAGCAATTGGAGCTAGACCASAATTTAGAAGTACAACACAAACCAAGTGCAAGCACAAGAAGAAACACTTGATAAAATTCAGTGGAAGGTACTGAGAGGGCTTACTGATGAAGTCCTGGGCAGTCATTGTTGGAACTAATCTTGTTTCATTTTTCCCTTTAATAATTTTACATGCCACCTTTCCTGCCACCTCCAGCATCAGCCAGCACCCTGCCATGTAAATTGTAGATCCTAGCTTTAGCTACATGTAGGCAAATTCCAGCTCCTCCCCATCTGCCACTTTTGGATTCCTGATCCCCAGAGTTCCAACACCTCAAATCGAGCAGTTCCTTGTGATCAGTCCAGCTCCTCYCTCCAGCAGCACAGAGAGTGAAARGAGGAAACACCTGGCAGGACCCACAACAGGACAGCAGCCCCGGGACACTGTGCTCCAATACAGAGAAAGACAAACTGTGTTCCAAGTGGCTGGCTCTGAAAAGCTTAGCAGGCTCCCTGGTTTTAGTTAATTCTTTGAAACAAAATTTAGTTTTGAAATAAATAAAATTTAGTGGTATTCTTACTATTCTGCTATTTTTAGTCTATTTCTACAAGGGAAACAGAACAAAATATAGCAAATAATTCTGCTAATGATTACAGAAAGGAGCGAATCTCTGTCATTTCCCAGAACAGTGTGAGCTCTGCAGGAGAAGCTGAAATAAAAAGCAGCAGTTCATTTAGTTGTTGACATCAAGATAACAGATATAGCCCCCTGGCTATATTCAATTTGCTAATGAAAAAAAGAAAAAAGTTCATTTCAGAGTRGAAGAGCTCTTTAAAGTTGCTTTTCTTTCTCTCACTCTCCATAATCTCTCAGCAAATCAAAACTTGATTTCCCTCAAAACTTACCCACGGATGCACAAATTTTAAGKTTTTAAACAAACTAATGCAACAGTTTATGTTGCATTCCCCTTGGACATCCCCTTGCTTTCACAAATATTTATTATTCTCTTCAGTAAGTTTTATACCTCTGTTTTTTACATAATAGGCATTGTCTTCTCTTGCATTGTACTATCAGGAAATAAAGGCAGCTTCCCCATATTTCATTTTTAAGCACCTCAAACATTCAAATTAACATATCATGCTTAGTAATGAGAATGCAGATGACTAAAACAATTCCAGAAGTATCTGAAAACAGACACAAAGTTTCTGCTCTCTTACAGCAGCTGAAGTTTGGCACAATGTTAATTAGTCATATTGCATATACCAGCAAACTGCAATTAAATGTAGGACAAAATGTGTGCCTTTTTTAAAAAATATTCTATATAACCCAAGATTTCCATAATAAACCCTGTATATTTTTCAGTATAATTTTAATATATGGCATATGGAAAAGAGCTAGGAGGGAAAAAAAGTGTCATCATAGYATTTCAAGGGATAAAGGAAGTAAAGAGAGATCATTCCAAATGCAACAACCCACGTGATTCTAATTATTAAAATTTCTGGTGGAGACAATGGATCTGGAGGAGCTGTTTTCCACAGTAAGGCTGCAAGAATATTTTAATGCATGCAAGTATGCAAGCTACATGAAGAGGTCTTTCAACTCCCTGTGTAAATATAAGAGATGTATTAAGGCTAGTTCTTTGATCTACTCTGTGTTCCCTGACTTATTTGGGATCACTATGATAAAACAGCCACATAAATCAGTCCCATCTTCTCCACCCTATGAGCACGTTAGATGTGTGTCTAAAAGGGAATGCAAGAGAAATGAGGCCACTGTGCATGATGTGTCATGACGGACCATAAAAGTAGCAGAGGCTACTTGCAAGAAGCAGAGCCAGGAAGGAATTACTCATTGCTTTCAATAAATAAATAGTGAGGAATACGTATTAAGAACTATTTATTTGATCCAGAAAAAAAGAAATAGAAAAAGCATACCAAWTTTTAAAAGTGTTTTGGTGATTTATTACAGTGCCTGGACCCAGTAAAATAGGGTGCTTTTGCTCCTCCTGCTGAACAGCAGGACTTTCCGTGCAGGCATTCTGCTAGTTCACTAAGTTATGTGAATGTGTTATAAGCTGGAAAACCTGGRAAAAAAATGGGGGGAATAAGAGGAGATACCCACACCCAATTAGAGAGAGGCAGAGAGAGAAAATTGTTTGGAAGGTACAGAAACAAACAAACAAACAAGCTAGCTTSTCACTCACACCACAAACAAAGGAAAAACACTGAAGACCCCGAAGGCAGAAGTTTAACAGGCATCTCAAATCAATTTGACTCCATGTCTTGTACTCTCCAGTAGATACATATTCTGCCAAGGTCACCTTTCCCTTGGTTAAAGAATATCAGTGGCATGTGCACAATTGTTCAAAGAATCTCCCTTCAAAAAGGTTTCAAAATAGTTCCTTCCTTTGGACCTCTACATTCAGTTGTATGTTATTTCTGTGTAGCACATGACAAAAAAAAAAAAAAANAAAAAAAAAAAAAAAAAAAAAGGAGGGACCATTCACATAGGCACCTAATTCCTTTGCTGCCCAATATCGAACAGGAAAAAAAAAATCTTCCTTTATACATCCAGCATGGATGCTTATACATCCAGCACTGATGCTGACTGGCTGCAGCCTGCTTAACCTAATGAGCTTAAAATCTTACTTGCAGTGGACATCTGTCAAGGCAGAGGTGGGGTACACAAGTCCTCTTAATTCATTAGCTCTAAATCCATCAGAGCTTTCACACTCCTTTTTTGAATCAAAGAAGAAAATCTGAGCGGAAACTGTACAGGGGGATTGTGCACATCATCAAGACCAAATTTTGGGCAGAATGCGTGTGAGATTCTGAGCAAACATCACCAACAGAGAAAAGAACCAGGATTATGAAGAAAACTTGAGAGAAAAAGGCTGGTGTGGAGTTCAGGATGAAACAGTGAGTTTGATTCTTTGCCTTTTTTTTTCCCTCCCGTTCTCCCTGTTCATTTGGACATTTAACCAAAAAATAAAGCTAAAGACAGAGACAAGATGGGCTGCACACCATCTCGCAGTGACTTTGCTAACAGCATTGCAAGAAGTGGACTTAAGGCTTTGAATAAACCCAAAGGAATTTTGCGTGTTGATCCAGGAGACAAGGGAATTCCACTGCTAGTTAAGAGTTCGTCTTGTTATACTATTGATGAGTTTGGCCAGTATGAGATTCAGAGGAAAGACAGCCCAAGAGAAAATGAGGAGCAAGTATCAGATCAAGACAAAAATGATAATTTCCAATCATCTTCCAAGGCTCATTCAGATGCTCAGATTGCCAGGGACAAAAAGAAAATTGACAGGACAGCCACAGATGCTGAAGCAGCTATGTCCGAGCTTATTGAGTCCCAAAAACACGTTACTGAGGATATACACATCAGAAAGCAAAGCTCCTGTGAATCAGAAGCATCAGCCTTTATTTGGGATGACAAGAATGAAAGCAATAGAAAGAAAATCCCAAAGAAAGCAAAAAAGCAAAAAAGCCACAAACTGGCAAAGCAAGGTCGAGCTGGCAAAATTAAAGAAAAGTCCACCTTGCCTCAGTGTGAGGCAGAAGAAAAGGTAGATTTCCCAGAAGTGCTTGTTAAGGCTCATCAGAGTGCTTATGCCTACTTAAATCCCAACCTCTCCAAATATGAAGCTATCCTTCATATGGCCAACCAGGCTACTCAAACCCAGCTCCTCTTGCAGCAGATGGTAAGCTTCCTGGTGCTTCGCTTTGATGAAATCAACCAGCTCTTGGAAGAAATTGCTAATGATGGGGAAAATCTTCTCAAAAACGTGGGTGGGAATCTGGCATGGCCAGCAAAAAAAGATTTGAAGGAGCACCCTGATCTGCTGCAGCAGTTACTGCAGTACACAGTCAACAGAATGCAGCTGCTCAACAGCACGGTGTCTTCCCTCACCTCCGATGCCCTGCAGGAGACATGCAACTACCTGCAGTCTGCTGCGAGCAACCTGGAAGGAAAACTGAAAGCAAAGCAAGGTTTTGATGAGCGCCTGTTACAAACGATAAGTCTGCTCGAAGCCTCTACAGTGGGATCCTCTCCGTCTCACAGCGAGGACAGAACGCTCTATTCTGAGGACAGTGGCATTGGAGCAGACAATGAGTCTATCAAAGACTTCAGTGCTCTCGGTCAGCTTGGAAAACAAGCAAGCTGCGATTCCTGTGCACGTGGCCATCTATTCCAWAAGCACACCAGATCCGTGGGGCACACTCGTGGTGGGACAGCATCACCAAGCACAGCCACCTCCCATGACAGTTGTGCAGTTGAAAGGCATTTTAAGGATATAGTTTACTCATCTGCTCAGAATAGAGAAGTGGTTTCTTCTGCCATGCCCCAACATGCAAGACTGTGCAAAAGCCAGTCTTATAACTCAATTCAGTCTGATTCTACCCAAGAAAGTGAACATTTCAAAATCTGTGAATCCACAGATTTTGCCTCCGATGATGATGAAGGGAGCACCTTGGGGGAGGATGATGACAGCACAAGTTTATCAGAAATGGGGAAGGATATTCTGCCAAGAAGGCCTCTGTCATCACCTGCAGTAACTGATAATACACAGAGGCAATCAAAGAGGACAGAGAATGCAGAGACRGAGGAAATGATCCTTAAGATGAAGTATGCCATCAGTGAAAAAATCAAGTTTGTCCCAGCTAAACCTGGACGTAAGGAGTGGATAGAGGAYGACAGTGGAAAAACAGTCCTAAGAGCAAGGCCCAGCACAGCAACAGGTAGCCAGAAATCCTTAGCGAAACARCTTCGGTCCAGGTCAGAGGAGTCTCTCAGAAGCCAGGCAGAGGATCCAACCCTTCTAGAACTTCAAAGAACTCAGAAAGAGCTCAAYAAGAGACTGGAAATGTTTTACAGAAACAAGGGCACAGACAGCAACCAAGAGCCTTGGAAATCAAGAATAGCACCTTGTTTACAGGATGAGCGTGTTACATCTAGATCCTCTAACAAACTGAAGGCTTGTCTCTCAAAAAATTTCAGCATACTGCCTAGCCAAGATAAAGTTCCTTTATATATGGTTGATCAAAGTCCTGTTAATCATCTGGATGAAAGAAGAGGCAGGAAGCCCTTAGGATCTGCTGTGTCCCCACAGGAATCATCAGGCAGCAAAGACACTGAGCCTCCTAGAACACAAGTCCAGAACAGCACTAGCTGTGCCTCCCGCAAGTCTGTCAAAAAGCTTATTGAAACATTCAGTCCTACAGATGATCTTGTAAAGGTCACACCGCTAAGATCTTTAGGACCAATAAAGTGCGTCAGAAATTTTGGACTTCCAGGTATCCCACCCACCCTTCCCTTTCAGAAAGGCCTGGCACCTTTAAATCTTAAGAATCGTATTTCACCAGTAGAAGATGTAAATCATCAAAACACCGATGCAGGTTCTTCAAACTTTCCCCCTGTACCAGCTACAGAATTAAGCACGAAGGACACAAAGGAGGAGACTGATGAAGACATTGAAAACCTGCCACCACCACCTCCTGAAATGTTAATGAACACTTCTTTTGGCCTATCTGAGTCTGAAGAAACTGCCAGAATAGATGGAAACTCTTCAGAAAATGTCAAGAAACCCAGCAAAACAGAACTTCACRCTACCAGGAAAGCACACATTTCCCCCAAAATCAAAGCTTCTCTCCAGTCCATTGACTTATTACCAAGTAAAAATATCAACAGTCCCAACGCAATTGCTAATAAAGTTGCCAGGAATACTGGAGTGGATGAGAAATTTCGGAAATATTCCCTGGAGCTCAATCCTACCAATGTGCACATCCCTAGCCAGGAAGAGATCCTGGCAACTCAAAGAAAGGAGGCTGCAGATTTATATAAGCAAACCCATAAAATTATTCCTCTTCAAGATCCCAGCGATGGTTCAAAAACACGTGGTAATATCTCAGAGAGCAAAGAGCCGAGTTCACTTGCGACCTCAGCCCCGTGCCAGAAGCATGGATCCCCCGATGCACTGAGGAAGCACGAGAGAGGGTCAGCTTTCATCAGGAGAGTCTCCCCAACGAGGACTCCTTCTCCGCCAGCGGAGAGGCGGCTCTTCAGCCCACCTGCCCCTCACAGAAACKCTCCACAGGCATTTGGCAGCTCCCAGCCAGGCTCCCCCACCATGCCGAGGAATCCCAGCCCCACCGGCAGCCTCCGGGTGCCCAGCCCTCCRGCACAGAAGCAGCTCTCCTCTCCGCCGGCCCCACGGAAAGCGTTCAGCCCACCCGTGGGGCGCCAGCCCAGCCCCATGGCTCCACACAAGCTGCTGGGGTCCCCAGGTGGCCGCAGAGATGYGAGCCCACCTCCGTTCCTAGTCACTCCTTCCCCACCAACCTCGCCATCTCGGACCCGTAAGGGACTCAAAGCCGCGCTGGATACCGGCGACGAGCAGCCACCCTTCCCCTCAAGGAGAGGGAGCAACATCCGTTCAATATTCTGCCCTGCGACTTCCTCCCTGTTTGAAGCCAGGCCTCCAGCGCCTCTTGGCAAGCCCACGGCAGAGGTGCCGGGCCAGCCAGAAGCGGCCCCGTTTCCCCAGCGGAGCGGGGTGCTCCCCAGGGCCAGGAAGCTGTCCCAGAGCGCTGCCAACCCGCAGCCCTTCGTCAGGAGGAGTTTCTCCGACCGCCGCCCAGGGGTGCAGTTCCGTGTTCCTGCTCCAGTGTCAGCCGGCAGCGAGCCCGCGCTCAGCCRGGCAAGGTAAGAGGTGCTTCCACCTCGCGCCGAGAGAGAAGGAAGGGAGAGAGCACCGTGCAAAGGAAGAGATATAGCACTGTGCTGGCTTTCTGCATGAATTCCAATGGGAATTCATTGTAGTTAAGATATTCCCAGAAAAGGGGCCCTGTTTACGTGCAGGGCAGGTGTCCAGGCAAAGACACCTGTACATTACCGTGTCCAAGGTTTCAGATTTGCCAGAACAAAGGGAAAACTCTGCTATCCACGGCTTGTTCAAGCCTTGTGCTCTCTGCTGTGACAGGCGCTCCAGGGAGGATTCAGTGCTGCCTTCATGGCAGGCAGCTCCCCAGCCTGCCCGGGGGACAGACAGCTGTGCTCGACTCCCGTAAGCTGTGAAATAACCTTCAGAACATCAGCATCTTTAAGCAACCATGGAAAGGTATAGGATTGAACTGAGAGAAAGGGGATCATTCTTAACATCAGCCTCAAAGCCAGTAAGAGGTCAGCTGAATTCCGCACCAAAATATTTTAAGCAGCCAGCAAGAACGACTGACAGGTAATGTGTAGAGAAGGATCTCTGTGGACGTAATTACAGCCTGAAGCTTTGAGCTTGTCATGTAGCCGTTCAGATCKGGGCCTTGCTTTCAAATCTGATGGGTCTGCCACCCAAGCCCAGTTTTCAAAGCAGAAAAATCTTCCATGGCCACCAGAGAGCCATTGCACCAAGAAAATGATAATAATAATTTTAAAAAGAATAAGCATGAGCATGCAGATTCCATGTGCCTAGCAATCAGTGACCATTTTTGAGGAAAAAAAAAAACCACAAAAACAACCATGAGGTGAAAATGACTACTTGAATATTCAGTGTAATGGCCTGCAAGCACCAAGTGTTGTTATTCTAGTTTCTCACAATCTTAGTACATTTAAGTTCATTAAGCTTTAAGCTACACAAGAGGATTAAGACTCTGCTCATGTAACCTTTCCTCACATGAGGAGTATTTTTACTCTTCCCTGCAGAACAGCTGAAATCACGAGGGGTGCAGATGAGTAAGGGGTTGCAAGACCCACACTAATGGGAAAACAACATTGCATTTGTAAACACACAAACGCACAATGCATTGTGAGTGGATAAATGAAACTATCTACTAAAATCAGACGTCTAGGCTTTCCTCTCCCAAAAGGAAAATAAAGAAACAAGTTTCTCACACTTATAATTAAGGAACATGATGGACAAAGCATGAAGAAGCCACTGGGAAACACTAGCAGTTTTGCCTTCTGAGATGTAGTATTGCATTATACTTCAACACTCAAAGATTCCCTGAAAAAAATCCACACTATTGCAGGGCTTTTCTGTTCTTGTTTTTTACTGTGTGGATTCAGCTGCAGCTACTCCAGGGCCCACAAGCAGAAATAAACGTCTTCAAAAGAGGTCTTATATCAAACCTTGCAAGACAAAAAGAATGGCAGTTTTATGGATCARTTTTAAAGAGTTTATTATAAATTGTTAGTTAATTCATGCTTCAATGGTGTGTATTATCTGTGTATTGTAGTCTGTCACAGCATGCGGATTAACATAAAAAAATTGTAAATAGTCTTCCATGGAAAAATAGATAAGTGTTATAAAATACATAAGTTATCATTGTTTTGGAATAATGACAAGAGCCAAATTCATCTTACCATTTATGCAAATGACCATCTAAAGTAGTCCTACTGAATTAGTCCAAAATAATATTGGCAAAAGCAAATGAGAATTTCGTTCCATTAATTACCACATGCATGGCATTAAGGTACTGTTATTTCTTTTCTTAAATTTAAAATAAGCTTTTACAAATCTTGCTTTGAATATCCTAAGATAAACATCACTGCAAGCCAGCTGAGAGGCAGAGATGTGCTGTTTTAGGGGCCTGCAAGTTGCAGAAACTCGGAGAGCCCCTGTCCTCACTGCTGCCCCTCTCCTGCTGACAGCAGCCTGGCTGCCACAGCTGTGAGCTCCTAGAACATACACATTGTCCCCAGCTTCTCCTTTTCTTCATCCCTTCCCTGCTCATCCTCTCTACCAGCATAACAATGCCTCCCCAACGAGTGCTATAACCATCTCCCTGTATACATATATACACACACATGTTCCTACCTTCCCTTAGGCAAGAAACCCCTCAGGGACCTGCTCAAACTTCTTTCCAGCTGCTTTACACAGAGGAACTTCTCTTGAAACACGTGCAATTTCCCCTGATTCTAACTACCAGATGGGGAAAGCCAAGAACAGAGAGAAAGAGAGACCCTCCATCACTCATATGTGCATCCTTGTCCAGTGGGCTTCTCCACATCCAGAAACATCCCCTTCCTCCGTACATCTCTACCTGCTCCCTCAAGAGGTACCACTCTAGGAAGAGGAAACAAAATCTGGATCATTTAACGAAGGCCTTGGAAATAATTGTTCACATATTATCCATATTGATGGATAGCCAATACTTCCACATCCCAGAATCTTAAAACAGCCACTGATTGCTATTTTTTCCTGAAACAGAAGTCTGATATTTTCTCCGAAGTAGTACATTGGCCTGGCACACCAGACATATTATATGCTGTATGAGTAAAAGATACTTTCAGATCTGAAAAAGGTAGGAAATTAGGAAAAAAAATTCATTATTAATGATTTCAGGAATTGATCACAATGTTGGAGGGAGGGGATCAAGAGCAAACCTCTGATAATATGTTTTATAAGTAAAAGAGTTTGAGAATCACAGATTTAGCCAGTCTCTCAAGTGCTTCTGCATATTCTGAGGTACGTCCCTCCACCTATGCATGCACATTTAAAATACCCATTTGCTGGGAAGATTTAGCAGATTGCTAAAGATTATCTGCCAGGAGCCGGTACAAGCAACATGTTCCAGCGATCCCTCAGGGAGCTGAGTCCGCTCTCCCACCCACCCCGTTTTAGCAGCAGCACCAAGAGAGAAGGCTCCTTCCCTCTCACGCTGCTAGCCAGCATTGCCAGCACTAAATGTCAGTGCTATATGTAGATCTGCAGGTTCTCCTGCTCTCTCACCATTCCCCTACAGGGGAGGAAATGCTCCTTTCCCAAGTATATCTCCTTCCTGTGCAATTCTCCAAGAAATATCAAGACTTAAAATACCGTGAGCACTACCTGGAGCTGGTTCTAGAGCTTTTGTATTAGTCTTAGAGTATTTGGAACAAGACTTTCAAGTTAAGGTTTCAGCTCCCAAGCTGTCATAATTGATATTTTGAGCAGCTTTGCTGGTTTATAAGCTTGGTCATTTGATGACAATCAACAGTTATTGGTATATTATCAAGGCATAAAATGTACAATTGCTCTGCTCACAGAAATCCTTTTAATCTGTAATAGGATTTCTGTGTATGCAATTAAACAAACTATTATTTCAGTGATGCTGCTGATCTCCCAAGAGGTATAGCAGAGATAAAAGATTAAATGCTACCCAGTTATTGTTCAAGATGAGGAGCTGGAGGGGTACAAAGGGATTGGGCTCAGTGAGTCGGGTGCAAAGCAAACAGTGTGAGTGAGACCTTCTGCATTTGGAAGTAGTTGAATCTGGGTCAGAGTTTTACAACTGGTCACATTTCTCTTCATCCAGCAATTCAGGCCATTAAGGCGCCGGCAGTTAAAATATGAGTGTAACAGCTTGTTCACAGTCAAAAGCTAATTCAGTTTAAGGCAGTTTATGTACTAAAAATACAAAAATGATTCCCAAATAACTCTGAAATAGCTCCTCTTGTTTAGCTTAAATCACTTTTATTGCTTCATATCACCCGTAGAGTTGAATAGCTTTTCCACCATAACCAGTCTCAATTTCTTAAAAGTGTCACTAAACCCTAAAACTCTAGAGATGTCATTTAGGTCCCTGTACCCCTAGAGAACACCTGTGTGGCCTCAAGAATATCATTTACCCYTTCTGTGTTTCATCTCTCCTGTCTGCAAGATGACAGGGTTGTATCACCAGAATAAGTACTCCGTGCATATTCAAACACTACAGAAGCAGGCTGAGGAGGGGGAAATAAATAAAAAAATTAACAATAAAATAAACATAATGGAGGTAAGATCTTTCTTCCAGGGGAATTTGGATTTGAAACAAGACTTTTATTAGGCCCTTATCCACAGGTTAACTTGAATTCATGCAGATTCTCTGCTAAGCATTCAAAATATTTACTTTTCAAGAGAGTTGYGGGAGGGGACATGATAATGCATGTAGCATCACATCTGGAGACTAAAATACGCATCATGTATAATCACATACATARGAGGAGACAGGGAATTACACAGTACTCTGCAGCATTTGTGGTAAATGGGTTAACATGATCTAATCAGCATTGTTTTTAAAAGTCGTACTTCATTAGCCTCTTAACTTAAGCATCTTTCTTTCCACAGCTTGGAGGAGAGCCCCAGGAAGGGAAGTGACTCCTGGAGCAGCCCTTGCACCTCCGAAATCAGAGAGTCCAGCAGGTCAGCTTCTCACCCCGACCTCTACGTYGTGGGCCAGCGGCTGCAGAGGGAGTGACACCAGAAGCACCTCAGAGGACAGAAAGTGCAGGCRAGACTGGGACCCGGGAGCGGTGAAACAGCCTTCCTCAGGGCTCCAAATCCCTGCCTCACACTTTACCAAAAGGAAATAGCACAGCTCCGTTACATCTAGAAACCCAAACCGATCCCAAATATCCCAGGCTATATCAGCAAGTTTTAGCCAATTGCTTTTCCTTTTGATCGGGTTCTGTGATTTAACACCAAAATTCATGTTTAGCAAAAGAAATTCTTAGCAATTTGGCAGGTCTGAAGCAGATGATTCTACAAAGCCAAGGCTTGTAGCCAAATCCTTTATTTTGCTATTTAGCTAAAGGAGCTGTAAACTTTCAGAAATTATCTCTATTTAACATACTATTTATTGATGAGGCATTGCCATTTCTGATAAGCAAAAAGTAGTTGTTGGGATATTTCCCAGGGCTGGTAAAATCCTGGACTCATTGGATTCTGCCACTAAAATATCAATAGCTCCAGCAAAGGTGTTACAAGAGCTATTTTTGAACATGCAGATAGAGAATAAGATGAAACATAAGTTAAAAAGAAACCTTTCTTTTACAGGAGTAAAATAATGATATTATTCTCCCAAAAAGACTTTGATCTTCTAAAGCACTTTTGACTATCACGTAATCTCATCACTCCCTAATTCTCAGGGTACAAGGCTTAATCCTGATTAGAGTAGTTCTGTAATAGCCCAATCAAACCATGTTATAAATACTAAGGCACCTAAGGACATGTTATGTTTTGTTTTAGGTTTTTTTAGAAGAAGAAAATGAAAAAAAAAACAGAATGCTGGCATAGAAGAAAATCCTGTTCTCCCAGAAACAGGTTTATATTCCTGTTTAAGCAGTTTAAGGAGATTGTAATTTCACTGAATAGTCCAGACAGATCATTGTTTAAAAATAAATAAAAAGAACAAGTTATTTACAATTAGCTGATCCTAGGCTGTTACAGCACCTGCTAAAATATGGTTTCATAATTTATTGGATCTTTCTCAAAGCACTAGTTTATCATCAGAATTAAGATATTTAACACTAGACATGTTTTCATAAAAGAACTTTTGTACTGAACAAGATCCAGAAAGAGCCACATGTAATCCTGTTTGCTAAGATTTTTTTTGTTGTTGTTCTTTTTGTAGATTAGTGTAGTACCTGAACACTTCACACTAAATTTTAAGCCTTCCTTCTTGCTGTCACATGGAAGGGAAATAGGGTTGTCTTAAACTGTACAAGAGACACCCTTGATACTGAACTATAAGTCTTAATCTACTGCCTTAATCACAACCATCCTTCAATAAACTCAGTGCCATTTTCTGTCACAGAAACAGAAAAACCTTAATCATGATATTTAAGGAGGTATTGAATGTAAGGAAGTAACATGTGGAAAACAGGTGCTTTGGATCAGCAGGGCTTGTAAGCCTGAGGTGACAACAGAGCTAGTGCACTGCTAGGATATCTCATCACACCCACATTCAATTCATGGAGATAGATGTGCCACTCCCTATCCGACTGGGAAATCAGCAGGGAAATACAGCAGAAATCATCAGCAGGACAGACTGCAGGACGTTTTCCTCCCCTCCCCTCTCTCCCTTAGTATTGTAAGCTTTCTTGCACCATAAAATTATCAATATATTCTGCATGTGTTTGGRGTTTGTTATCCCCAACATCAGTCTTCTCTGGTGCAAGAGCAACACATGGAGCAATTCTTCACTGTGACAACCAACCTGGAAGTTTCATTATACACGTGCTGGCTGGCCATGAAGGCACCATCTTTCCCTGGAAACCAGGCTCCCTTGAAGACACAGCACACGCAGACGGCAGGGCACACAGTGTCCCTCCCAACATTCACTAAGGCTATCATGTCCAGAAGCTCCCTGGCAAACGTGTTTCCACACAAACCCAGCAGGTTCTGAAGGTTATGGCAAACTTGCCGTAAGGACGTTGATGAGAACTAAGCAATATATTCAAGAAACGGATCTTCTCCAGGAGTGATTCACAGACTTGCAGCACAGACTTACAACTGCATGTAGGTGACTCTTCAGTGCAGTAAATATACAGGGCTCCTGCCAACAAGGTGTTTGTCTTCAATGTCTATTGCAAACAAGAGGTTAAGAGTAACATAATATGTAGCCCAAGGAAATAATAGCTTGCGTGTCTTCTTTCTTTTTCTTTTTTTTCCCCTTGTGGATTACACTTGCATTTTTTTCTATGAATTCAACATTTCTGGAATCTGTTTTGTAAGCTGATCTTCAACTTGAATATTTATTTTTTACTGATGTAAATAAAGAGTTTTTATATGTAAGATTTGAATATAATCTGTCTTTCTTGCTGTACACAATTGGCTTAAACATTTAGCCCAGTGTTCTTTTGCTGATTCCTTAGTGCACCACACCCCTGTGCTATTACAAGGATATTTGTTTCCTTCCTCTCCCACCCCTATCCCCACCTGGTCTTGTTTTGTGTTTAGGAGGAAATGCCTCTACATCGTTCCTTTATGCTGCACTTCCATTAAGCAAATTGTCCCTTTTGGGCTGCAAGATCCAAAGCAGACACTGACGAATCAGGTCACCAGTGCTGCAGGTGCTCCCACCTACCAATCTAAGCATGAACTCTCTGACAATTTTGTACTCTGCTCAGCAGGTGTTCTAGATACAACTGGGGTACAAAGAGTTAAATTCAGAGCACAGTCAGTGCAACAGAAGGGACAAGTTTGCAGCAAAGCGGTATCAGTTTTACAGCCAAGATTTCAAAGCTGTGAAAATAGCAGCTAACAGCACCATGTGGTACTTGATCTGTAGCCCTCCAACAAGCTGGCAGCGGGCCCTGCTTCCAGTGAAGATGATCAAATCTTAAACCTTTAAGGGTCCTGGTGTTTCACACTCTCAGCATCTAAAGATGAAAACACTGCACACTCCACTTACTTCATTTGACTTCAAGAACTATCCCAGATACCATCAATACAATTGAGAATACAACCAAGTTATCAATAAAACCACAGAGTGACAATGTTTGCACTTCTACACCTCTTAACATCAAGAGCATTTCGGAATTATTTAGGAAGTCTATAATTAAGATGAATTTCCTTACAAGTTATCCCTCTGCTACAGAGGGCAAAGAAAACACAGTTAGAGGTAAAAAAGCCTGTTTCTTGTGCCTCGTCATTTAGGAACTGCTGATATTTCCTGGAGAGAAATCTTTTTAGATTAACAAGCCATTAATCCACATCAAATACTCTCCATGCCACCATGATTGCAGGTAGGAAGTTCAAACTGAGATTTTGATTTTGCTGTGCAAGATACTGATATTTTCATAGTGATTGCAGCAAGGTTTAGGGGTTAATTTCCATGTTATCCTCAGGTAATTGTAAAGGTTAACTACATAGATCCAGAACTGCATTCCGGATTATCTGAAAACATGGAGCAAAGAATCCAACTTGCATGTCTTGCCCACTGACATTTTGGATTAATGAAGCAGTAATGCCAAAAAAGCCATGCAACTTTAGCCAGCGAGTGGACAACAGGACTAGGAGATCAAAACATAGGACAAGAGTTGTCCCTTCCATTTCTGCTCATCTCACATATGCCCACCTTGCATCTAGCCTGTTTCACCACTGAAAATACTGAAGTGGCTGCAGTCTTCACCACTCAATTTCTCTAGATTTTACCAGGGTTCTGAATTTCAAAATCTTTCTTCTCACTTCTCCTCCTTTCTTATTCTTTTCCTGTACTAATATACAACTCTGTGATGCAAAAGCCTTATGAGAACTTCTGGAGATAGACTATATAAAATACACCCTTTATCAAGGTTATTTGAAAGGAGAAAGGCGTGATACGCCTGTCTGCCTCCATATGAATCCCCGCTGCTTTATTAAAATTTTCCTTCAGGCATAGATGAATTGATTATGTAGCAATTAAATTGAAACTAAAAACTTCCAGTATTATAGACACTGCCCTTCATTTATTATTACTCCTATTGAACATCTGGGTCTTGAGAATACAAATGAACCTAAGCTGAATCCTAAGGATGCTAACAGATCCCTGCCCCTCCCCAAGCAGGAACTATAAAGCTTTGAACAGAATTTTCCAGACTTTTCACCAGAGATAAGGGTCAAGGCTGAGACCTCTGCAGAGCTAAAATCTAAACCTACAAACTCATTAGCTACACAGCTTTTAAATTCCAGACTAAGAAGTTAATTTAACAGAGCAACTTTCAACTTGCAGCCTTACTCCCTGTTAAACCAGATTATCAGTCTAATATCTAATATGCCCAAAATTAAAATCTGCCAGTTCAGTAAAACAAAAACAAAAACCAACTTTTCCTCTACTTTGAAAGTTTTTCTCTCTCTACTTGAAAAATTTGGATAATAATGACAGAGGGAAATAAGTCTTTGGGGATTTTTTTAATTTTGTGATTTTTATCAATTCCCTGATGCTTTTGCAGATTCTTTCCTTTTTACATTTTGGAGAAAATATATACATTCATATATATACACACATACATGCATGAATCATCATAACAGTCCCGGCATGCAAGTAGGTTTCCATATCACAGTTTATCACCAGGAACAGAAGTCAGCAGGGATGTCCTTACTATCACATAGCGACCTGTAAATGAGCAGCTAGGAAGACTCAAGAATCCTGGCAGGTAGTGACTAACTGTGAGCGTCAGGCAATTTCTTATCACAACAGTTCCCTTCCCAAATTAATAGCTGCCGGTAACAGAGAATCTCTAAGATGCATCTTAAAGAAATAATGTAGAAATTATCAGAGACGATTACAAAAAAAACAGGATATTTTTCACACTGAAGAACTCATTGCTAAGAAACTAGTCATCCTGAAAACAGACAAGAGCAAAAGAGCACGTATTGTATCCTCTGAGCTCTGCTGCCCATCCGAACAAGTCAAAATTTCCCATTTCTAGTCCCACAACCCTCCCTTAAGAGAACCCTTGGCAGTCAGATAGCTAGGCTGAGCTTTTCTGCAAAAGCACAGAGTGCAAAGAACAGAGTAGGCATCTAAATGCTCCAGGTTCCCTTGGCCAAGCAGTGGCCCTGCAGTCTCTTTACTTCCACCGTAGAGTAAAAAGTTTAAAGCAAAAATACTTTAGCACACTATTTAGTTAAAAGCCTTTAGAGCCATAAGGAGGGCTGAATGGCANAAAAAAAAAAAAAAAAAAAAAAAAAAAAGTCAATGAGGACTCAGGCACATCCAGCTATCTCAAGATTTCTTTTTCCTTCAAAATCTACATAAAACTGATCCAGGACCCAAACTATATCTAAACTTAGTCTTGCAAACCAAAGCTTACCAGCCTCCAGAGGCATCATCAGGAGGACAATCCTGATCACTAGTGCATGTTTGTAGAATAAGAAATGCTTCTGGCATGAAAAAGCAATGACTTCAAGGAAAAATGCTTCTACTATTGGATGTACAGTAAACAGAGAATATTTTGGGGAGGTGGAGGTTGTTGTCTTTTTTGTTTTGTTTTTAACAGGCYGGTCATTTCCATGATTTTCTCCAAGAAAAGCCCTGCAATACCTGAAAAACTGCCATATAGGTTCACAGGCTGAAACAGCTTTCATTCTTCCCAAAAACATGCTGCCCTTCCTGGACTTTATGCAGMGACCAGAATTAGATCCATAGCTGAACAAGTATATACAGCCACATAAAAGAGATATTTTTTTCTTCAAAAAGCCTACCTCACACATCACATATTTCTTCTATAACATCAGAAACTTGCAACCATGCAGACTTTGCTGTCAAAACATTATGGTTTGCACTTGTCTGTGAAGTGTTTTTCCCCAAGGCAGAAAATAATAGCAGCTTCAAATTAAAACCTAAGTAAAGATTGAAAGTAAACTAAGGACTCAGATGACTATGAGTTTTTATTTTTAATAAAAATGCAGGGTTGTCAACGTGCACACAACTCCATTAACAGTCTGAGCCAAACCCCAAAGCAGTTGTTCGCACAGAGATTTGTTACACTGGGAGCACTGGCCCATGTCAATAAACCCTTACATAGCTCTAGGCTGATCAYTCACTCAGCCTCTGGATATAAATAGATGCGAGAAACCCTCCTCACCTGTTGCTGGCCTCACAGTCAACTTTCCGTCATCCAAATATGTCACAAATAACAATATCTGAGGGCTGTTCCAGACTTGATTTACATATATATACACACACACATTTTGAAAAAGTGTGCATTTTTTCCTGTTACATATAATGCTGAGATAGACAGCTATAAGCCAGAAATTACTGAGATTACAAATGTGTAAAGCCTTAGGATTCAGGCCAAATTTTCTTTTTTCAGATCTACTGTGAATACAGTATATGTAGTTAGAAAACTTTGTATTGTACAGAAGCTTTCAGGTACACAATGTTTCAGACACATAAAAAGTGACACCGCCATAATCCAAAATAACGAAGAGCAGTAGATGACATAAGTAAGTCTTAGCAAAAGAAGTACAAAAGGAGAACAGGTGGCTGTGAGGCAAGGATATGGGAGAGCAAAATTATTAACCTTCATGGAACTGCACCAATTAAGGTATTGGTCAAGCAACTATAGGAGAAAGAGCAATCTCTATATTAAACAACAACAAAAAAACTTGCTAATATAATACTACTATTACTACAATGGTCAAAGCAGTAGAGACCCTAATATTAGCACAGTTATATCCGTATAAAATCCGTCTTATTAGCATAGACAATTTCCTTTCTGCATTGAATTAACTCAAAGCACTTGCACTGACAATGCATCACCACCACACACTTTTACAGCTTAAAATATTACATATTCTGACAGTATAAACATAGAAGAATAAGGGTGTAGATAAGTGTGTCTCTGGCGGAAGCATGTGTATAGATGTGTGTGCAAGGGGACCCAGCCGAAGGGAGAAACAAACCCCAACAACCTGCAGCTTTCACCCCGGCTCCAACGTGGGCAGAATTTTTACTTTCTGGTCTCAAAAGCAGTGGTGCCAAAACGCGCTAATCAGCTGTGACAGTACAGCCTTCACTTGTCCAGGGCACAGCAATTAGCATGGAGCTCTGCAAGCTCCCTCACTGCTGCCAACTGCACTCAGACACCATAATGGAGTTTCAAGGRCAGGTTGGGAGGTTGTTTGCCAAACACTGTTACTGTTTTTCACCTAAAGATACCAAAGCAGAGTTACAGGCTTTAAGGTTCAGGTCAACTCTAATTTTAGCCAGAGTAGTTTTCTCACCTCTGCTGATATCAAAGGCTCTATCATGTATCAGGATTCAGTGGCAGCTGTCAGGGATTTGGTAGGAATGCCACCACATTGGCTCCCATCACAGGGTGGCTGAGGGTAGAAGGGCCCCTGCATCGTGATTTTACAGCRGTGAAGTAGCCACCTCAGTGCAGCCTTTCTCCCTCCTTTGAAGGGGAAGGACTTTCACATCTGGTTCCCCAGCCTACATACAACCTTGGCACAGAACAAGTTCTATCAAAATAACCTTTTTTACYGGTCTGTGACCCATTCCCATCTGTGCAAAAGCCATTTTCTTCAGGTGGATTCACTACATCTTTGCTCTTCTCRTCAACATCATCAAGGGGCAGCATGGATATTATTTACAGCACGAGCCTTCAACCTCAACATCAGCACTCAGAGAACATCCCCATTTCTCATACTCTGCTGTGCTCATACCCCACCAAGACAACTACAGGTCACTTATGGCTACTACCTGCTGCCCCAGAGACCCTCAGCCTCCACTCCACAGATCCACCCCCGTAAGTCCTCCACATCACATGCAGATGCTTTACTTTCCCCATTTCTTTTGTATGGACTAACTTCCTTTACCACCCCTCAGTAGCATTCTTTCTAGTACCTTCATCTACTCATCTTTGGTTTTCCTCATTTCCTCACCCATACTCCCCTGCCACCGTCTCCACTTGCCTTTCTCTTTTCTTTACTTTTCTGTACCCAAAGGTCATCTCTTTGGCAATGGCAGGACACTGCTGTGGTGGGCAAGGGGGTTACATTCCCTCAAGGAGCTCAGAGCATTGGAGCCCAGCTAGCACATTTGCACAGCATAAGCATTCTGGATCACGGGTGAACCGTGCCACCACACACATTCTGTCTACGAGGAAAAGAAAATGCCTGCTTGAGRAAATTAGAAATTTCCCCCTCCCTGCCCTCTATCACAAGATTTCTTACCTCCAGCATGCAGAACGAGACGGTCTGTCACACCCAGCGTCTTTCTTGAGGGTCTGGCAGGATGCACTGCAGAGTCTACATGTGTAGGATATTATCTTACACTTGTTCCACTGCACTAACTTCTCCTGGGGATTAACAGCTATGTTGTACTTTAAAAGTAGTAATCAAATGAACTAAATTGGCCTTACAAGTGTAGGGTTTTTTTTTTTTTTTTTTTCTGGTGGGACTCCTAGAATAAAGTGCTAATAAAAATAATTTAGAAAAAGAAAATACTGATATTTATTCCAGAGCTGGAAAAAGACCCAGCAGTGCTCTATTACTTCTTTCTTCCAAGAACCTTATAGCATCTTAATAGCTTATTGCTCCCACCTGGGCAAGGAGCTGGCCGGAGCGCTCACCTGAGCTGAATTAACCCCTGCCCCATTAGAGTCCTGGATACTCCCTCTCATTGAAGGCAGAGCCACTGTGTCAGCTGAATTTGATCCTCCTGTGGTAGGAGCCTCCTCCTCATGGGGAAACTCTCTCAGCTGGGAGAGACAGAGGGGAAAAAAAAAACCACACACACACAGGCAAAAAATAGGTACTGGCAGGCAACGCTTTATTTGCACCGACTATGCGGAGCAACATACATGAAAGCAGCACTCCAGGCAAAGAAAAACCAGTTACACGGGTTACCTTTTAAACCTAGAAGTGCTACAACTAAATACACAGAAACAGGTTCTGGGAGGCAGCTCTTAACATGCACAAAAGCCTCTTCGTCCTCTGTGTTCCCAAGGGCTGGAGCCAGCCAAGGAGGAAGCTAAACTGAAGACATTCTTTAAGACATGACCCTATATGCAATGATAATATCTGGCAAGTTGGAGTCCCATGTTAGTTTTAGATGTACAAAATAAATAGAGCAAATAAGAGCCCTAAGAAACCCTTGGGCTAGGCAGATCTCCCAGCCTCCCAGCTTCTTATCAGGACCCATATCTGCCAACAGTCTGTGCTGCTCCTCCTGGCTCTGTTGTGTGGGTCCAGCCCGCCTCATGCCTTTGRTTCCTGCTCCTTCTCACCCACTTGCACGGAGTGGTGAAGGACTGATGCGTCCCTGCCTCTCCCCTTCTCCTGAATCCCACTTGCAGAAGAACATCTTTTGGTCCACACATAAAGCAAACTGCTTGTTTTTCCCATGACAGAAATAAAAAAAAAAAAAAGAGAAAATATATATATTAAAAAATATCACCTTGGCTCGCAGTCGCCTTCTCCCCAGCACCTGTATGATGCCTTACAGGATCCTTGCAGAGGCACCCAGGACTGTGGGGCAAACGGTGCTAGTGGTGCTTCCCACTGACCCGCTTCCCCACGCCACAGCCCCAGTGCTCCCAGGACCCAGCTCCCACTCCCTCAGTATATACATGTATACACATACCCTTCTCTTTCTCCTTAAGAATATATATATAAATATATTTAACTTATTTTTTATTATTATTTCAATTACAAATGGCATTAACACAACTTTTCCTCTCAGTGCCTATTCAAGCTTCTTGGGAGACGTTGATCTCAAAAATTAAAACATTTTAAAAAACACTTTTGTTTTTTTTCTTTTCAGCCTACTTCTGGCTACGCTATGTACATGCGGAGTGGCGGCGTGGAGCCCCCTTCACCGTGGCTGCTGCTCCAGGAGGTCGCGCAGGCTCCTGGCCACATGCGGGGGCTGGCCGGCGGCCCGCGCGGCCAGGCTGGCGCCCATCTCGGYGTGCAGGGCGCCGGCCAGGCGGGCCGCGGCGCTGTGGGCCTTGCCGCTGCGGCCCGGCAGCGACCCGTTGCCCGTGGTGCTGCCCAGCAGGTGCCACAGGACGGGCAGGACGTAGCGCTCCACYGTGGATCGCCTCCGCCGGGACACGGACCCAACGAGCACTGCGGGACAGAGACATAGGCCTCTTAGGAGCCTTCAGGGGACAAACACCGGCCTCCAGGGGCTGCGAAGGGTTCCTAGCTCTGTGACACTTGTCCTCTACCACACACAATGACTGTTCAGCCCCCAACAGGACCTTAATTCCCTCATCTCAAAGGCTTCATATCCRCCAGAGACAGAGCCACCCAAGCAACCCGTATGTGCCTCACACCCCGCTTGTTCACCCACATCTGTATGCAAAATGATAAATAATGGCCAATCTTTCTTTACCTCCACGGGGGTAATATCTCAGTTAACTACAGAAAGTTTTGAAAACGGAGCTTAAGAACTTAAGAAGAACAATTGAGTGCTCATGACCTTTGAGAAATACAATGCCACAAGTCTAATCTGGCAGCTCCTGTTTCTTGGCAGCACATAGTAAATGGCAATATCATACCACACTTCAAGATTGTGGCCCACAAAAGATGTGTGATATTTGACAATATTACTGGATATGCCAGTCACTACATGATATCTTTGGCAGAGCACTCTACTTTGAGATTTTTCTCATGTTTGTGATCTGCTCTCAGACCCTGTTCTGAATCAAACAGGTAACTATATTAAATGCAAACAAAAATTTACTGCCAGCTGGCCTCTCATATGGTAGTTTTTGCTGAGAGATCAAGATTTGAAACGGTCTGGAGATCAAGTATCAATTTCTGTTTGGTGAAAGTGCTAGGCAGCAAGCATATATATTATTCTGTAGTGAAAGGATCTTCATCTTCTCTACCCTGTTAATCTAGAATCAGTCATCAACATTTAACARCTGCTGGAAGCACATAAAACAAAGCAGCAAAGGGTTATGATSCTTATTTTAAAATGTGAGTTAATTTGATTTTTAACTCTATTAAACACTGGTCACTATGGCGTTTGGAAGAGAAAGAGCTGTCTGTTTCCACTAAATCCCAGAGAGAACAGCAGCTCTGTCTAAACTAGTCCCAATTTATGTTCAACTGCTTTACTGGGGGAAAAAAAAGATTAAAATAAGTGTAGAATTAAATTCTACATTCATGCAGATTTACTTTATTCAAATTATCTTTAAAGGCCTTTTTACATTCACCATAGCTAAACACACCCCTTTCGAGATGCATAATGAAGAAGCAAACTGTATTAAACCCTGGATTAAAAGATGCTGGCATAATTAGCAGTGGATTTAGACCTAATTCAAGCAAGGCTATAAATAGTCCTTAGTCTATGTTGAGATTATCATTTTTCCATTCCTTGGCTGTTGCTGAACATAATAAGCTACTATTATAAATCAATTATCAGCTGTATTTTTAGTGTGCAGAACAGCACTGAAATAGAAATAGACTATGTTTGCACATCCTGAAATAATCAGAGTGCAACGTCTTTATCTGCAGGACAGGCAGGAATCCTAAGCAGCCAATAGAAATGGAATCATGCTCCATTTCTGCCTCTCTCTCCCCAAATCTTGCCTTGCTCACTCTCCCTGCCTCTTGTGCTTGTGCACGGTTCTTGCCAATGTTGCAGTCCCCAGGCTCTGCAGCAGTCAGCCTCCAAAAGCTTCCAACAAGAAAACACGATTTTTCCTCCAGGAATAATCACCCACCCCCAGAAATACCATTGGTCATAAATTTTTCTGTGGGATGGACATTTGCTTTAGAAAAGGGAGCTTGTAGAGACCTCCTTGACCTTCACTGCCCCACACGGAGAGAGGCAGAGAGGGTATTTTTAGAGTCTCTTTCCCGAGCGGTCTCACCAGCACTCGGCGCTGGCAGAGRCTACTTGAGATGCATTTTGAAGGGATTGCACTGGCCACAGGGCAGGGACAGGCCCTGGACTGTCTGCAACTCARTAAACTCTGCACTACCTTTTCTCAAAACATCTGCCATTTCCCAAGAATTTTTTTGATTTAAAAGCCCGGAGGAGGAGAAGCAGGAGATACCTGACAGACGATCGGTGACATCCTGCACAGCTCGGCCACTGAGGAAACGCACTCGATTGGCAAGCGCTTGCAGCAGCAATACGTTATCTGAAAGGGAAGAATTATTTCTGCTCTTTCTTCCAAGGGTATAAGCCAACAAAAGGGTGGGGGTAATTACATTTTGTAAACTAGAGCCTATTTCAGCCAACATCAGCGTTCTCACATTTTTTCTTTCTTTAAAGCTTACCTGGGAGGACTTTAAATTCAAAAGTAAAACTTTCCATTTCACAGCTGTGAACACAAAATTAACCACAGCACAAAGAGCTATGCTACATATTTCACGCTTAGATTCTCAAAATTTAAATCGCTTTTAAGTATTGCATARGATTTCCGTGCCAGAGATTTGGAGAGGTGAATTTCCCCACCCCTAAGAAAGAGGTGAGACTGTTGAAAAGTCTACACGTATTTTACAGATTTAATATCATTTTTTTCCTTAAGTTACCTGTCGGGTCTGTGGATCATATTCACAGATCTTGTTATTAGGGAGACTTACCCGCTCAGTGCCAGCACCGCTGGCTCTCAAGGCACTTCCGACACCACTGAAGCCAAATCTCGCAGAGATGTGAAAGTAACTGTCTTCCCAATGCTTGATGGGCAGATATGTTTAAAGCTTTTCCTGTGCTGCCTGCTGCTGACTTGCTGTCTTGCTACAGTTTGTGTAAGCTGCTGCCCAGATCCGCCAGCAGCACTCCCATCTCATCCTTTTGATAAGGCACATGTGGCTTTTCGGAGAGGCCGGAATGCGGCTGGGCTGTGCTGGGATACTCCGTGTTGTCACCAGAAGCGGTGCTGATAAAGTGGGCAACCTACTGCCCTATGAATCACTGCAGAGCCAAATCCCAAAGTGGTTTTAAGCAGCACTGTGCTGTTAAGTGCTGCTTTTTTATGTGAGATGTACAAAGGAAGTCCCTAATGATTATTTCACCAGCATATAGTAAAGAATTGATCCCGCTATCCTAATTAAGTTTCTGCTTTGGTAATTACAGTCTTCTCCTTCACCTTTTCAGAAAGACACTTCCCTTTTTGCCTCTCACTCTTGTGATACTGACAGATGTTATGACACATTTGCTGTTCCCCCCAGAGAGTTATTTTACAGATGCTGCTTTGTGAAAATTGATGCAAAATCTGGAGCTGCTGTTGCAGCACAAAATGTTAATTAATTATTAATATCTGTTTCTACATGGATTTGCCTAGGATTTTTTTTTTATTTTTTTTTAAAAACGCTAGCAAATCCAACTAATTTACCCAACCRTTACTTCAGCTGCTTAGAGATATCTAGGGATAGAGAGAGTAGCTTTAAACTCCTGCTAGAGAACAGGCAGCACAGCTTTGCTTCTCTGCACAGTATATTGGATGGACCTACCAGCTACAGGACAAGCAGCTCAGCTCCTTTGCACTCTCATCCCATTCCCACTGTTTTAGTGACAATTTAATTTAGGGACAGATGTCAGAGGAGAGCAGGTGCCACGTCCTGGTCACTGAACCTGCCTCCAAATGAAGCCTATGTGAACAAGGTGGATGTCCCTTGCTCCTGTTCTGACATCTGCCAACTTCRAAGATTTATGGTGATCTCCCAGTTCAGCAGTGGGGAGGGAGAGTGGCAGAAGTTTCAGGTGGCAACGTTCAAGTCTGACACAAAACCCTTAAGGAAGGTGATTGCCGCATCCTGTTAGCTGGATGTGGCTGCTCTTCTCCAACCAGGAGACACAGAAAATGAGTCAATGCCAAATATGTGAGAGATCCCACACAGATCTCACACTTCATAGGCAGGTACAAAACAAGACTTGTGACAGGGAAAGGCAAAAGGTCAGCAAATTCATTGGGTCTGCAAAGAAACTGGTGTGGAAAGAGCTAATAACTCCACTTTAAGATCTRCCTCTTCAACACTAAATATTTCAGGCATATTCACCCAGTGCTGCCTTTTCACAGCTGACATAAATCTATGTGTCAAGGGAATTTACAGCAGACCTTGGCTATGTAGTTATTGGCTATAGCAATCTCGCCCCATGCAGAACAACATTTGGAACAAGCCATCATTTACTGCTGGATTTATACCTGTTTTTTCTAAAGAAATGAACTTGGCAAATCACAAATTCAAAAGAAAAAAAAAGGCAAAGAAGGAAGGTGGAAAACAAAGCAGACAGGACAGCTAACACTCATAATGCAGAGCCTTCTAGGAAGCTGTTCTGCAGGAGCTCTGATGAGCCAGCTTCCCTTCACAGCAGCATCAAAGCAACTCATTTGGGAAGCCAAATTAGGCTTAAACAACCTCCAAAAATCCCTTTGCCCCTGAACTCTAGCAAAGCTATACACCAGGATTTATTGCTCAGCTCATTCTGTACCAAAGCAGATGAGCACCACAGAGCCAGAAGCTCCTGGCACTTTGAGGCAATAGTGGTGCCGATGCAAGCTTGCCTAGGAAGTGGGGAATAAGAACTGCCCCATCACTGCTGGCCACCCAGCTCACCCGTCACATGCAATAGGGATTCAAGGCCTTTGGTCTTCTGAGTATAAAGAACATGGGTAAGCTGCAAACCTGGCACCAGACCAACAACTCCAGAACTTTATGTGGAACCTATTCTTCTACATTACCTTTATTTTAATCAATGCCAAAAAAAAAAAAAAAAATCACACTTTTATTGATAGCACCTTCTGTGCAAAACTGAATTCCTTGCACACACAAATTTCCCCACATGGGCTCCCATCTCATATTTCAACAATCTACTTCTAAGCTGCAGTGAATATCTAGTGGAAAGCCCTGGAGCCTGGAAACCTGGTCATGGCTACAGCAATGACAGTGGTAGCACAGGTGTTGCAAGTTTGAACTGTCTTAATCCACACGAGAGGAACAGAAGGGAAATTTTGGCCTGCATTCATCTCACCTAACTTTAAAAGCTTAACTGAGGTTTTCATTAACAGCCACTGGAATCAGCAGGAAGATGTAAAGACATCTAGCAGGTAATGCAGAACAGGCTCAGTCTCCCTCCTTCAGGGAATGCTTGTACAAAGGAAAACTAGACAATACCAACACCTCTCCATTAATTCTAGTGAATCCCAGCTCCCTAAAACCRAATGTGTAAGATTAACATATGAGTCACAGAGAGCAAAGCTTACTACAGGTTTGGGGCTGGTTTTGAACTGTGTATCTTGTCTGGAAYGAAACCTATCACCCCCTTTCCAAGCTTGAGTCACACAGACTTCTGTCCTTGTGTGTACTGCTGGGAATGAATCATATCAACCACACAGCTGAGAAAAAAAATCTGTTAGTGTAATCCTGCTCTAATTTATTCCTAGCCTTTTATTTATTCTTGCGTGCCATCCTCATATTTAGATTTAGATGTTCCAAATTAGGGAACATCTAAATCTGAATATGAACTGAGACTTGTGGTAGGTGACMATATGGGAATTTCATGTCAGGATAGTATATTCACTTGATTGTAAAGAAATATATACCACTAGCATGCGTGCAATCACTTTCAAGAGCAAATCACAGAGAATGATTGCAAATAATATGACCAAAGATAAATTGTTAATAAGTTAATTTCATTAACTTTAAAAGCGTCAGTTTAGGCTTTTGTAGTATCATCCATTGAGGAATACTCCACTGTATTTCTCATCCATGGCATGCAAGCACATACCTTGCAGGGGTGCAAGGGATGGACTGGTGGAACAGCTGCTTCCCAGAGGGAAAAAGGCTGAGGATTAGCAAGAGATCCAGACCACTCTCACAGGCTGCAAAGAACCTGCTGCACATCCTGCAGCAGGCCAGGTGGTCCAGGATCCAGTGCACCTCACCTCCCTACTGCAGTTACATTTTCGACATCACTACGAGCACTTGTGACTCCATATTTGAGCCTCCTGATTAGGCTGGCTTCTTACCCATGTGCAGCAGGGAAGCCAACACACATAGAGAGCTCAAGGCTGATCGTACAGTGAGTGTTTCATCCTTCATCTCATCTTTGTTGTGATCTCTCACAGCACAACATCATGTTATATTCAGAGATGCAAATTCCAAATCAGTTCTCAAAGGGACATTGTTACCCAGTCTCTGTAGTGCCTGAGTAGCTGGACTACCTGGAGCTGGGCTACCTGCAGCTCCAGAATGAGTAACCGAGATCAGAAGTTTTCATACCAGGGTCAGCAAAGGTCGAACGCCTTTGCTTTGGGAGCTGCTGTCATTCCTAGAGTAGGAAATAAGGCCCAGCAAGAGCAAAGAACATCTACTGTCCCTTCACAGAGAAAGCATGCTCCTTTCATCTTCTGTTAGTGAATATAAACTTAAGGAAATGTGCAAGTTACAAATCCAACTAAATAAAAAAGACTTTAAATGATTAAAGAAAAAAAGAAAGAAAAGAGCAAGGCAATATGTGCTGTTTCCTACGAGGAAGAGGAGAAATTAGCTATGACAGATGCTAGCCACTTCCCTCATGCTCTTCTGTCAGGAGCTTAGTATAATCCTTATCATATCCCCTCTAGTGAATTAACGATCAGACATATGACCCCGACGATAAGCAGGATCCATTTAGCTGCACATCACAACACGATACGGCAGATGAGGGCAGAAGGACTTCAGAAAGGGATTAATATACATCTTTGCAGCAGCTGGATTTCTCCAAACAAACACACAAACAAACAACCAAAATCCCACAGACTTCAACTGGCCAAGCGTTAATTAGACTCCGATAGAGAAACTGCAATTAGGGAGAGTCTATGCCACAGGGTACCCAGGGAGGGTCCAGCCTTACCCAGGTGCGCAACACAGGCATCCAGCACCTTCACAGCGGCCGCGTAAATCCCCGTGTTCTTGGAGTTGAGGTTGTCGGTGACTGCTGTCACCACAGGGACCAGCATCGGGCGCAAGCTCTCCCCAAGGAGGGGCATCATGGCAGCGAGGGACTCGAGGGCTTGCTGGTTCACTTTCTTGTTGCAGTCCTGAAGTCTCAGGACAAAAACGTCAAAAATCTGTTAGGAAAACAAACAACATGAGAGCCGGATTACAATGCCTTTGTTTTCAGAAGAGATGTGGAAAGAGAAGATTCCTGCAATGTAAAAGAAGAGCATAATCCCTTCTGACAGGTCAGTGCTTATTAGTGCAATCCTACTGTTTTTCCATGAGCTACTCACAATAGCAGTTACCCAACCTCACACAGTTTTTAAGCTTTTCTTGTTCTCTTAGGAGGTTAGCCTGTGCACAGYTCATATGGGTGTTTATTCACCTACAAAAATAACTACACTCAAAAAATCTTTTGGCATAAAGGTATGAAGACATTTCTTCAAGAATCCCTTTTTTTTCATAAGGTTTTCTCAAGATCTGAGGGTAGTTTTAATTTTGCTGAGACTGGAGCTGAATGAAATCCAAGTTTCATTTTATCTGTTTGTCCCAGAACCTAGGATTGGTGAAGTGCAGGACTCATGAATTCTTAAAGATCCATACAGTCTTGCTAGATAACAGTAAGACAAGTTTAATGTGTTATATCAGTTCTCATTTGAGCAGGTTCAGTCTCACAACAGCCATATTCTTGGGCAGCATTTTATGGAAAACAGGAAAAAAAGAATAGCTGTTTGGAGGAGAAGGTAGAGGAGGAGAAGATCCTTCCTCTAGCAGTTCTCCTTCTTCCAAAGAACAGAACTGAGTCCAAGGGGATGACTTCAGTCTTTCCCAAGCAGGGAAGGGATAAGGAATAGCCTGAATTATGGCTTCAGAATACAAGATAAAATTTTCCTCAGCATCCTGTGAGCATCCTGTGTTAGGAGTTATTAACCCAACCTGATGATTCTCTATCCCAACACATCCTATTCTTCTTCTGGAAAGCAACTGTCAGCATTGGGTGGATGGATTTCCCTYGTTTTCATTTAATTAAGTGTAGGGGAGTGCAGGGGCCTACAGCATCGTACCATGATCAGCACAAATGGACACTTGCCAGAAAAATACATCTAGACTAGAATTACTTCTACTAAAACCTGGAGCTGAATTCAAATACTTTGGCTCRGAATGGACAGTCACTCCCAAATGACTGACATGCATGTCAAGACAGATACTGTTAAGCTGGCTGGGACAGTTTGGGAAGAGGACAAAGGGAAAAAGAGAATGGAGGTGCCCTAGATACCTGAACAATGTTTGCCGAGATGAGCTGGGGGTTGTTTTTGCAGTGATCTAAGAGGAGCGCAACACCCTCCATTCGTGTCTGAAAATCCTTGGCTGTCAAGAGGATCTCAAGCTCCCTGAGCTGATCCGTCTCTTCCACTGTGCGAAGTGATGTACGTCGGACCGTGTGTCGGGGTAAGACAAGGACATCAGAGCTGGACCTTGAATTGGAAGAGAAAAACAAAGTAAGACCTCTTGGTGATAACATCTTCAGTTAACTGCAAGAATAGCATCTCAAGGAGACTTCCTAATGATRTGATTTCAGCTAGGTCCCCATCTGAAAAGTGACTTTCATCTCATGACAACCATTACAGGAGGCAACCTCCAAGTAGCATTATCATTACTGCCCACTTGAGAAAACTGACACTGAGGAAGGAATTTATCTCACTCATCTTCAGATGTCTTTCAGGTACTCATCTAGCATTTCTATGTGGAAACAAACAGAAACCTCTTCAAAGTTTAAATGTCTCAAGGGATCTTAAGAGTTGCCTATTTTATAAGGAAATAAAGTGCCCTGGAGAAGTGCCTCTGTCATGGGCAATGGCAAATGGGAATGTGGATAAATAGCTCAGATGCACCTGAATACATGAATCCCACTCAAAGAGATTAAGGGTGTATCTGAAGGGATTCAGAGGATGAGTAATGGAGATGCAAACAAGACAGGCGTCTCACTAACGCTCTCACATTATTGCTTCCCTAGGAACTGATCCAGTATTTTGTGAATTCAATGGAAACTATCCCCTTGGATCAACCTCCACGGACATATGCCCGTCCACGTTAGGGGCATGTGGTCACCATCCTGATATTACTGAATACAGCACTAAACAAAACCACCCTGTTATCAGAGGAAAACAGGTACGAGCAGCTCTTTCTCTGGCCTGAGGAAGACAGTAACGATCAAGTTCCTGTCTTGAATGCTGATCTGCAGCATGATATAAAAACATGCTATCCATCAACCACACAGTAATGGGTCTGAACAACGTGAATAGCTACACAAAAGAAGATCCACATTCAGACTTAGTCAGCCAGAACCACTCAGGAATTCTCTGGCTGATGCCTTTGAGGGTCAGAAAGCAATGATTAATCAAGATCAAAACATGCATGGAAATGTGGCATTTTTGAGAAAGGCTTCTCAGTTCTAGATCAGCTTCTCATGAAGCTGATTCCCAAGTGGAACAGCAGGGAAGCATGAACTACAGCCTCCATGACATTATCCTAGCCCTTGAGTTAGTTTTTTTTTTCCTCCAAGCTGTAACTGTTGCTTGTCTCCTTCTGTCTCTTGATTTTTTGTGGAAAACCCCTAAAATGTTTGTGCATGGCCTACAGCAGAATTAGTTTTGTTTTTGTTTTGTTTTTTTTTTTGTCTTACACTGTTTTGTGGTGCAAGGAAACTATTTCTGACACAGCTCAGCTGCATCATAAAGATATTACTGAGACAGAGACCCGAAAACCTTGTCACACACTTCCTCAAACCTAGCAGAAGCATTCAGTACCCTTCGTCAGAAGGCAAGGTGTCCTGGGATGTCGTCAAGCTGCTCTTCCTATGCTCCCTGCGGCCCTTGGCAGGTGGAGGTTCAGGTATGTGACCTTCCGTCCCCTAAACACATACATAAAAGAGCATGAATCTATAAGAGACAAAATAGGAAATAACTCATTTAAAACAAATTATAACTGAAATTACCGCTACTGAGAAAGACTTAGGAAAACATTTCATAGCTTAGAGAGCGAGTTGGGGYCAAAGGCTCAGTCATGTCTACTGAGGATTTCATTTCTACCAGTCTAACAGAGACTGCAGTCGCTACAATTACAGGCAGTAGTATGAAATCCTAAATGCACTAGTCTTGAGTTCCATGAATAGGAACATCAGGACCTGATAGGGAGCAAGTTTTCACAAAGGGAGTAGTGGGAGATTTTGGGATTCTCTCAAGGTTGCATTGTTTATATTCAGAATTGATTTGGCTTTCACACTCTATCTCGGCACAAAGGCACAATCCTCTCTAAACTATAAATGGGAAGGAATGAAAAACACAAATCAGAATGATTTTCCACCAGCTGCTGAACTCAGAGCTCCTTCCAGCTCCATAGGGCATGACAGCASAGTAGTATTCCCAGAAAATAGAGAATACATGCACTAATAATAATGATTTGCGTCTTTTGTATTTCTGGAAATTTTCTAGGCTGGAAATTTTCTAGGCGTTACTTCTTCCTTCATCTGTTACAGAGGGGCCTAATACTTTCATTTGCACTATTGCCGCTTCCTGATGGGTGGGGAGGGAGGGACTGTTTTTTATGAGTGAAGGTGAAACCATCTACTTTCCTTCCCTTTTGAGGCTGCTATTCAAAATAACCCCCCTTTATTCCTAGCCATAGTTGTGCCCACCTTGACTGCCTGCTCATAAAATGGCTGAGGATCAACAGTTCATTCTCATGAGGAAAACAACTCAGTKGAAAAAGAATGAGATTCAGAAAGAGAAAGATTGAATATCCTTGATCTCATTCTTGTATTGGCAATCTCAGTACTTGTATAAAGGAGACATTTCTCCTGCCAAGCACTTACTTTCTGCTTAATTGTTGCCATAACATCTCGCAAGTCATGTGATGGGAGAGAATGTTTCAAATACCCATCAAATTTTGGATGCTTCATCAATATGGTCAGCATCTGCCGTCCATAAAACCTAACACAGGGAAGAGAAACAAATGACCATTTCCCCTCCGTAATCTTACTGTCTTCTTTGCTTATCCATGAGCCAAGAAAGAAAAGGGTTAAAAATATAAGCTGATATTTTATACCTGTCATGTGCAATACTTCTATAAGAGCTTTATATGCATTCAGCAAAGAGARGTATTTACCTCCAGTTGTCACTACTGCTCAGTGATGCCAGCTGAACACAGGCGGCACTGGTGGACTCAGGACAACAGGAAAATGCAGTTTCACTCTCTGAAATTGTGTGTCTGTTTTTGTGGGACGAGTGAAGCGCATCTCCTGATTTGCTGTCAGTGGTCATGTGCACTGGCAGTGCACAATAATTCACCTGCCCTTCACTGGGGAGAAACTAGGGCAAATCAGCCAATGCTTACTGCTCTGCTACAAGTGTAGAATGGACAGTTAGCTGCTCATGCGTTCCTGCAATCTATTAATTACGACTTAGAGTAATCATCACCGTAAGTTATTCTCTTAATTAGGCTTTTCTTTTGCTGGACACAGAAGTGCTCTGAAGGCTGCACTGGATTTTTTTTTTTTTTTTTTTTTAACAAGCTATCAAACTGCACCTGTTTTTTGAGAGGAAATTTAGAAGTCATTCAGCCACAGACAGCGACATTGTACAGTGGCTGGGAAAAGAAAAGGTAAATATCATAGGCAACAAACTGTGGAAAGAGTTTAGGAAATTGAAAGGACTGAGGATACCTGGAACCCYTCTAGAACAGACTTAACTTTACCAGAAATGCTTGGGATCCTTTGATGTTGAACAGAGACAAATGCTAGCTTTGTGTTGCACAGGTAGGACCAAAAGAAACACTTTATCTGGCTGATCAGAATGAAAACTCATTCAAGTCACAGGAGTTTGTCAATGGTCATTCTTGCCTGACAGCCTCACAAGATATCAGACCTTTCCCCAGACAGCATTATCCTGGGGGAATCCACTGGGAAGCAACCTCCTGAATATTCACTTTGTCTGGTACCTGTGTTATTCTACATTTGTGACCAGCCCTTGAATGGTCTCCGTGTTCAGGAGGCGGCAGAGGGGTGGTTACCTCGTGTCCTGGTTGCAGTCCTGGGCGAGCTTCACCAGCACCTTCACCAGCATTTCGGTGCTCTCACGGGAGCCTGACATCAGCTTCTCAGCTCCAATCTGCTCCGTTACAGTCACCAAGTGTTCAGCAGCACACCTCCGGATAAGGACGTTTCGGTGACTGTGAATGAGACAGCAAACACCTGGGCAGCAAGAAAGGAGCGTGCACACAGAGGGACTGTCCTGTCCTGGCCCGGTGTGGGTTCCCTGTCTCCTCACTGCAGCTTGAGCCAGCAGCAGACACTGAGCCAGCAGCAGACACTGCTGTCCCCTGGCAAACACAGAGCTGCTGTCTTACAGATAGGCCACCTGCAAGGTGGCAGAGAGATACTGAACTGTCCAATACACTGTGTTTCCCCTGAAATTACTGACTCCAGGAGAGAGGGACATGCAAGTCAGCATGAATTTTCTTTCATCAGCGAGCTTCCACCACACATGGGTACTGCTGCRGTAGGACTGGGACTTGTTCCACCAATTTATCCCCAAATCTGCAGAAGCTAGAGAAGGGTAAAAAATATTGGGGAGGATAAGGCTGTAGAATATCCAACAATGCAGAGAGTTTGCTCTTTGTGGTTTGGCAGCAGGCACATGTTTGAATGATTTACCCTTTTCAAAAGCTGAGAAAAGGGTAGCAGTCATTTCAGCTAGATCCTCCTTTCTGAAAAAGGAGAGCACCTATTTGAACCTCTCAGACAATTATTTCCTGGCAGTGTCTACTTCAGGCAAACCCATGGGAGTCCTCCTGTGAAGGCACCTRTAAAGTGACTCACCCTCTCAAAGCCAACATGTGCTGTCAGTCTGAATGGAAATCAAAGCCCTAATGACATGGTGCCAGGTAGACTCCTCCCTGCACCCACGGCTCCCAGACGCTTCTCAGAGCACTCCATGTCCCAGCAATTAGCCTCCTCCTTTCTCCAGCTAATGCCATAATGAGGATGTGTGGGCTTTCCCAGGGACTCAGTGATTGCTGTTGTGAAATATCACATATAGGAGCTCTCTGCTGGAGTTGTTCCCATTCCCACAAAGCCACAGGACTGAACCACCATGCTCTGCAGGCACTTTCATTTCCCCATTGCTCACCACATCTAGGCAGCATTGACAGGCCATGAGAACAAGCAGGGCGTAGCAGGGTACAAGGAGATGATTTCGGGAAGGGAACATGGCTGATCGCAGATTTCCATCAACAAAGTCACACTGTATTTAGGAGAAAGGATTTTTCCCTCCAGCCATTCCTCTTGCTTGTCTCTTTTCCCTCCTTCCCTTCCCCCTTCTTGCACAATATAAGGTGAAGGACATTTCTAAAAAACACATACTTGACCCCACAGGCCATGAGAGCAGTCATTGACCGTGCAGGAGTCACGCTCCCCACCATGATCCCAAGGGACTGATTCGCCGCTTTCTGAATGAATTCACTGGAGTCCCCTGCCTTCTGGAGCAAGGTCCGAGCAATCTCCTCCACCTCCTGGTCCATGTGTTTCTTCATGGTCCTGAAGAGCTCTCCAAGGGTGACGATTGCAAATCGAGACACCTTCGAGCGGAGGTTGTTCACCTGCAGAGGTCACGAAGGAAGAAAACACAAGGATTATCTTGTAAAGATAATCAATATCTTGTTTACCTAGATAGAACTTGCCAGGAGGCAACAGAACCTTCTGCTGGATCCAGGTGGAACATAAGACCACACCGAGAACAGGAAACCACAAGCACAGAAACACCCTTAGTCCAATACCAACTTTTTCACTGGCCAGATCATCTTACAATCCAACTTTAATAAGATGGCAGGCCTGAGAGCCTAATCCTGGAGGACTGCACACAATTCTGCTGCTATCAGTGGGATTTTATAGAATTCAGAATTATCCCTGCTTTCAGAGGACTATCCTGAAGAGTGAAAAAAGAAGTGAACATCTTGGAGTCAAACATTTCAATTGAAAGATCATTTCATTTAAAAGATCCAAAGAGGATCTTGGTCTTAGACTTCCTTCTGCCTTAACTGTGCTTGTTAATAAAGACAGAAGAACATAAGGGGTAGAAGTGCTCATGAAATGAACATTCGTGAGATGAGCCATGCCTCTGTACATGGTAGCTTACAACAAAGAGGAGGACATTTCTTCAGAAATATAAAACTAATATAAGAATCAGATTAACTAAACTAGAACACTTTTCTCTCTCATCTCTTATCTCTATAAMCAAGAAAATTTGAGCCCCGAATATTTAAACAGGAAAGTTTGAGGAGGTCAGCAACACCAAAGGCATTCCAGTATTTGACATCTTTAGCTATTGGATAGAAGATATGAATATACTGTCTTACTCTTTCCCGTGAGCAAAGGGTGATTTAATGTATTTAGTAATTACACATACGAAGAGTACAAGGCAGCAGGTTCAGACCACAAAACAGTGCCCATTTGGAAATACAGCCATACGTTAATCTGAGGATGTTAGGCTGATACCTCTCTGCTGACTGAGCAAAGAGAAAGCAAAGYTCAGTGCAACTGCCCTGCTCTCAGAGTAGGGAGGCTCCAAGCACACAGCAGCTGTACTGCAAAATCCCACCAGAGGAAGCAGGCAGCACATCTATGGAAAGGGCGAGTCTACAGAAAGTACAGAGAGAAAGAAGAGAATTTGGGAAACCCAGGAAAATAGACACTCGCAGTCAGTTCTCTGGGACACTGAGGAAGAGGAAGTGCAATACAGCTAAAAGGCAAAAGCTCCAGGGGTTAATTGCAGCTTGGGCAGGGACTTGAACAGTTACAAGTCACTCAACTGGTGTCTTGGTTTCTGCATTTGTATGTTGTATTATAATGACACGTAGCTCAAAGAGCAGACAGAGACAAATGCACTTGCAAACATAGTTACATATAGAGACAGATCATACAGATAGGTGACTTAGCCTTAGAGAAATGAGATCTAAAAATAGCAATGGAGGTGGACGTGGAGCACGTGTAAATTCACAAGCACGTATCTACCCTATAGCCTGTGTACAAGGTACGTGGGACACAGCTAAATACAGCACTCCTACCTCTTTGGTAACTGCCAAGGAAACGTCATGGAGTCTGCAAAGAAGGATTTCTGAGTGGCAGGTAGCCAGGCGTCTGATGTTGAAGAGCCCTTTCCCTTTCAGCTGCCTGAAAGGCAATTACCAAAAAGATTGATTTTTCTCACCACCCAAGAACTAGTTTGCACCCTYCGAAATTACCCAGGTGGGGGTTCACGCAAATAAAGGGAGGCCCTTCTCACACAGCACTTAATTAAATTGTGCAACTCGTGCCACCAAATACTGTGGCGGTCAAAAGCATACATAAATCCAGAGGGCAATTAGGTGGCTTCAGAGTGGATGGGTTAATCTGTGGACTTTAAACAAGACAGCCTTCCTGAAAGCCCTGGCACACCAAGTCCCTGTGCTACTGCTTCCCAGAAGCTTGGAGACTGCATCATATTTCYCTGTTTCTTGCGCCTTGTCTGGATGGCATCCTCCAACACAGCTCAGTCTGGGTGCCTGCACACTGCATGCCAGCCCAAAAAGAAAAAACTAAAGCAATAATAAAAAATAAATAAAAATAAATAAATAAATAAACAGTATGTCCTTGTGAAGAACCAGAGCTAGATAAAGGTGCAGGATGGACCCTGATGTTGCCCCATGGTAGCCTCCCCATCGGGAGACCCAGAGGTCTGYGAGACCAGGTTGGGGCTATGGGGCTGCAGCTCCATCCCTGCAGCAGGCATCGCACCACCGGGGGCATGGGAAGGGGGAGAGGGGCAAAGTCAAGTGGTTGTGCAAGGAGCTACATCACAGATGGTTCTTCCTGGTGCGGCCAGAGCCCCAGCGAGCACTTGCTGACCCAGGAATCAGAAACAAGGCCAGCACCCTCTGAAACTCATCATCGTTTGGTCAGTGTCTGATTTCTGCACACCCTGTGGCTATCAACAAAAGCACCTTTGCTTGGCCCATCTTGAACAGTGAGGAGGAAGAAGCTTCATCCTGAGAGAGTAAGAGTCCTAGGAGATTTTTTTCCTTTGGAATTTTCTTCTGCCGTGAGCCCATCAGGCAGACGGACAAGCAGAGCAGCTCTGCAGCCTGCCTCAGCCTCCAGCAACAGAAACTCCCCATGTGTCCCACTGCAACTGGCACGTGCAGAGAGTCCCTGTGGGCTGCAGCAGCAATGCCCCCTTCTCCCGCTGCTCGTGCCAAGGGGAGGAAAAGGGAGCGAGACGGAGCTTTCCCTTACCAGTCACTGCTGCTGAGCCAGTCCAGCGCGTCGCTCAGCCCCTGCTCCGGCTGGGAGAAGGGTTTCGCTGCCGCCGCGGCCCCGCAGTCGGGATCCTCTCCCCACTCCGGGCAGTCCAGGGCAATGGCCGGCAGTGAGTTGGCTGCGGGAAGGACGGCAATCAGCAGCCAGCCACACATCCCGAGCTGGCCGCATTGCTGTTTCTATCTAGTGCAAGGATTCTACGTAGCGGACAGCTGGGCATGCATTCATTTTGACACACTACACGGAAAGCAGTAGTTTATGGATTTCACTGTTTTCCGAGCGTTATGAATATTTACTATTTCAGAGTTACCCACCGGGCTCTATTTTGAAGATGCTGAAGGGAAATTTATTTGTCATCAAATATATTTGTTTACAAACTGTGTGGTGCCTAAGCTTTCTCTTGTGGAAAAAAAGCAATTTCAGGTCTAGATAGTTGTGACAAAAAAGCCTTCCAAATGTGAATTGAGGATAAAAATATGTAAATGTAGATGCAAATCGCTGGCAAATACACTCACTTGATGACAAATATACAAGGTAGAAGAAAATTCAGAAGACAAATGTGCTTGTTATGAAACCTATTTTTCATCAGATGTGCTATAGGTCAAAAAACATCATGTCTTACACTAAAAAGATCATTTTTTAAACTATAGATGAAAACATCTGAGTTGTCTACCCGTATCAAGTCTAAATATTGCCCAGAATCTAGAGGAGCTGGTATGGACTCTATAGGAATTTTATGCTACCTAAAGTTTTTGCGTGCTCCACAAGATACAGAGGATAGAAGTAAAATCCACATGGTATTTTCCAAAAATGCATAGATAGGAACTAATTGTGGCTGCACTGATGTCAGTGGTAACATATATTATAAGCATAAACACAAATATGAACAGTTAAAAGGAGTGGAGAAACACATCAGGTCAGGTCTGGTCACTTTTGAAAAACAGCCCAGGGCTGAGTACAGTCACTAGAAGGCACCACTCAAAGCCTCCTTCCTAGCTCCTACTATTTCTTAGACTGTATTTGAGATCATAACACGAATGTAAGCTAAASAGCAACCAAGGGGCTGTGAAGTTAAGGAGCAACTCCAGCTGCCTGCCCTTCCATGCCACCAGTTGACCCAGCGCCAGCACTGCGGCTTCGGCTCCCAACACAGGCAAAGGCTGGAGCTCAAGGCTGTATTAGGCTGAGCTTGCCCTGTGCAGGGAGGAGACGGCCTGCGGCTCACCTGAGGCATGGCGTGGGAAGCCACCATCCTGGCTCGCGGCCGGGATGCTGGGCAGAGATGGCCGGTTGACCCTCTTCTTCAGCACGGTGCCAACACCGCTCCTGCWCGCTCTGCTCACGCTGGGCGAAATGGACACCACCCCGTTGACTTGCATCCCAACACCTGCAGAGATTCAAAAGGACCTGTGAGTCCAGCACGCTGGGCAGGATGGCTAAGGGCTTGGAAATGGTTGTGGGTGCCTCACTGGACATTCCTCACAGCAACATCCCTCACAGCCCTGGCCCCAGGAGCTGCACGCTGACCGGGGGCAGTGACTGCAGGGCTCAGCAGTGCTTTCCCTGGGGACTGAGGAAAACCCAGCACTGSACCTCCTTTGCTGAGGACAGTTGCCTTGCTGAGGCTCCCAGCTCCTCAGCAGCGCTTCACAGAGCAGCAGCAAGGAAAAGCAGAGACAGCCTTGTCCCGTGCCCTTGGGCTGAATGCTGACTTGTAACTTCTGTGCGGCTGCCCTCTCGAAAGCGTGTGCTGCAGCACAATCAGTGCCCGTTGGTCGCAATTAAGCCAGCAAGGCATGTGCTCGCACGGGTAAAACATGTGTGCTTGTCAAGGGCTCCAGCACAGGCTCCTCTGCGGGGCAGCAGACACGGGCAGGATAAGTTGTTCCACCCCACAAGCAGTATCATCTCTTGCGTTTCAACTGGAAATATTTAAATTTTAATTTTTTCAGGTTGCAGCTTGTTTAAAAAGCACTGCTTTGGACTCATCCTTTCATCACTTAGCTGGGCTCAAATACAAAGTCTGAAGCCCAGAGGTACCTGGCAGGGCAGAATTACCCAGTCCAAAACAATTGCTCATAAAAGGGAGCAGAAGGCAATCTATATTCTGCCGATGACTCACTGTGCACCATTGGGTCAAGATACTTTATACCTCTTTATTTTTATTTGGAAAGTAGAAATAAATCACATTATCGTTTCTATTCAGATCTGTGCAGTGCAAGTACAACAGCCTTTGAGTTCAATTTCRTAGGACACTGGCACACTATGCAAGGGACAAACAAGTGAACAAAAAGACCCGCAACTATCGCAACCACTTACCTTCTTCACCAGCACCCATAGGGTCAGCCTCCTGCATGTGGAGCTGCAGGGACTTCTCCTTTTCTCTCTCTTTCTCCCTACGCAAAAGCTCCATCTCTCTCATCTGCTTCTGGCGCATCTTCTCCCGAGCCGACTTGGATATGGTAACATGGATCTAGTCATAAAGGAAATATAGTAGGGAGTGTAAGATGACTGTACATGACATTAAGTGGGAATGCAGTGGTGGAGTGTCATGTCTTTATTGCACAACTACTACATCTCAGTAGTAGTTCCTCCTCTTCTTCCSCTCAGTATATAGCTATACCCAATGGTGTAACTACTTAATTTCCACACCCTTCCACTGTTCCAGGACACTCTTTCTCAAGCTACATCATGAAGTCCTGCTGGGACCAAGGGACTCATAGGAATGCTCCRGGAGGTTAAAAGAGCTCACATTACCAGGGAACTGCCCGTAGAGCAGGCAGAAGAGTAAAAACCATCTGCAAATATACACAACCGGCAATGAAAGGTAACTTGCTGCTTCCTAACTATGGTAAACGCTTGCAGCCAGTATTTGCAGCTTTTTCTCTTTTCTCTGCTGCTGAAGAATACAGCTGCTCTCAGAGAAGATGTATGAGTCCAGTAGAGGAGTCAAGTGAACCAGAAGTTTGAGAAACATTGGTCCAAATGAAGAGCAAAAGAGAAATACAGGGTTGTGAGAAATAGCAAGAAAGGTGACGGAGAAAAAGCAAGGTTTCCTGTGCTATTTAACAGTGTTGCTTATGCTCTGCATCATAGTCTTTACTTCTGCCTCCCAAGCATGCACTTTGCAAGCGCTCACTGATGCACAACTTCCTCTTCCATTTGTATCCTTACAGATTTGCCTCTGCAAAAAGAGCACTTCTTGCTCATCCCTAAYACCTCCTCCCAACCAAGGGCTCCTGCACATTGAAAACACACAAGCAGCTAGTCACTAGTTGTAAAAGTTTCCCCCGCAAGAGGAAAATGATATTTTTCCCCTGATGTTTTGTGCTAAACCTTGAACAATCACGAAAAAGAAAGGGCCCTTTCCCTCCATGCTTGTTTCTTACTCTTCCATTGCTCTCCATCCAGTCGTTGCTCTCCGGGAGGCGAGGGCTCCCAAGGTCAGTCTCCTCAGCACAGCTGAGGAAAAGGCCTGGGAATGGCGACAGAGACTCAGACAGGTGGCCAACAGACTTCACATCCTCAGTGACACGGTGGTAGGGAACAGGTGGGACGGGCTCCAGCATCCAGGGCTCTGGGGAGACAAGAACATATGTTGCCTATGAGAACAGTGAGCAATGTATAGCACTTCCCGACAGCTGGGATCCTACCTTGCGGCACTGGCCACAGAAAGGACATTGCTCTCTTGGCCATAAAATCCAAGTCTACTGAAGGTCTGGGTCATCAGCTCCCCGTGAGTTGCTATATGTGTTTTCTAAAGAATAGTGGTGGAATAAGGAACTCCTTTGTCAAAAAAAAATAAATCATTCCATTCTGCTTTGAGTAAGCATCCTCTTTTTCCAATTGCTAGGGTATCTCCTGTTTTTTTGATAGCTGCATGACCTTGCAGAGGTAGGAATCAGTGTATCTTCYGCTTTGTTGGACCTTTTCATAATCCTTTGTTGGATTACGCAGACATTTGAAGAAGAGCTAGGGATTGCCAGAATATTACCGAAAGCAGAATTTTGCTCTCAAGGCTGGAATTCATTCTCCTCAAGCAGATTCATTACAAATTGTAGCAGAGCAGCCCACTTTCTGGGCAGCCTCACTAACAGCTGATTTTCTTGATGAGAACAGTACAGTGCAGTTCATTCTGAATTACTCTCCAACAGAGCTGTTAAAACTCAGAGAACTAGTCATGCATAGTTCCACAGATGATAAAATCATGTGAAAGGCAAGTAGTAAAAAAATGGAATAACTTCTTTAAATTATGATTTTTTTTTCCCACTAAATGGTCAGGTTGATGAGAGAGAGTGAAAGAGAGGGAGAGAGAAAGAAAATAGCTCAACTGCATAGCTCCAGAAAGTATCCAGTAAAAATGCCACCTCACTTACTCAGCAATTCTTCTCCCTAGTTGCATTCAGCATCTTAGCTGCTTATCAGCAATAATCATTACTGTAGTGTATGCTCATTATTTGGCAGTCAAAGCACTAAGCTGAGAGACCAAAGGATGTTATCCTTTTTTCTTCTGCATCAGCAGAATTACTTGTTAAATTCCCATCTCTCCCAGAGATAGCAAATGCAGAGCACAGGTGTCATCAAAGTTTCCAGCATGACACAGTAGGTCACATCAGTAGGTGACATAGGTGTCACTGGCACCCTATCCTGTCACGTATGAATCCTATTCCTAGTGATGATGCAAACAATGCAAAACAAAACCAAACCACCAGGCATCTCAGACCTTGCCTGAATTTGCAAATCTGCCATTTACAGATAGAGTAGGGGGGAGATATTTGTAGCAAGAAAYTCAGCAGATGTGTTCTGAGGTAACAAGTATAAAAAGGAAGCCTCAGTGTGGTATTCAGTATTTAGTTTAGATCTATGTTTTCAAAAAGAATGGAAAGTTCAGTTCACATGACTGCTCCAGAGATGGGATCCTTATTTAAATTTCTTTATCTGTAAATGGAAAACTCATAAGGACTCCCATGAGGGATTTTACATCTCCTAGTGTAAAAATAGGCAGATTTCATGAATGTACTTCAAGTGTCAAAAAGGTTTGGTTCAGAATCACTGGTTCACTGCCCTGAGTGAAGGCTTCCTTCAATTGCAGGAGGAACAAGCAGCAACATTTCTTATTTCACATGAAAAGCCTCATTTATTTCCAATCTCTCTAATATTAGGAGGCGATTACAGAGAGATAAGCTCTACAGGAGCAGTGAAGAGCATGGAGTGAAAGAGTTGGAGGAAGAGTTTTTTCTCCCACAGTGCATTTTGGGACCCTAAGGTAACCCTCTCAGTTCCACATGCTGGATTCATTTCTACAGAAAATGCCAGAGCATTTCTCCAGGGACTGGGTCTGGGATGACCACCCAAGTGCCTTGACTAATTGCACAAGGTTGTAGAAAGATTTTCAACTGGACATGTGCAGTGACTGGCACCACCTAGGAAGTCTGTATTCATTTTAGGACAAACTTGCCTTGAACTTACCCAGAGGTTTAAAGGTCTCCTCAGTTCTGCTGCCTGATCTTAGCCTTCAGAAAAATGAAGAGAAAACAACATATGAAAAGACATGAAGAGAAAAGGTGTAGCTTTAACAAAGGAAAGTTTTAACCTCACTTCCTTAGCAAGGTTACCCCAATGAAGAAGCAAATACAACTCATGAAATCAACAATATTCAAAAGCCCACTACTAGGCATTAGATTTTTGGTTTGTAGAGTCACATAAGGAGCTAATCTAGCTTCAACTGAACATGTGACAAAATTTTCAGTTTCAATTTTAAATATCAAATTCTGCTTCCTGGTTATTGAGCTACATGGATCTCACATTATTTACAGTCCTTCTGAATTAACGAGGATTGTTGAACTTTCCCTGGAGGCACTCACCCAACACACTCTTACACAGCTGTAGAAGCCTAGCTTTGCCTGGTCATGACTTAAACCAATGACCATATGTTATTACAAATGGCAATAATGCTGCTGTCTCCTAAGAATAAGATTACACTTTACTGCTTTTTTATTTTTGGCGAGTACTTGCAAGAAGTTCCAGCTCATCTGATGGGCAATTGCACTTTATAAGCCATGCATATACCTTTAAACTGGAACAATATTTATACGGCTTCTTATTTGTTATTATAGCTGGTATAAGATTGACAGCTAGATTTCCTCATGCTGGTACAAATGAGTATCTTTCCATCTCCAAAGAGCACCAGACATATAGCTGTTCTCCAGCTCCTTGCCACCATGATCTTAAAACCTTATGCAAATATTAAGACTCCTTGAGTCTCTGAAAGATAGATGTATATCTGTACTGTCACCCCTCAGCAAAGGACTTGCCACAGAAACGTTACGATTGACATTTACAGAAATGGCATCTGAATTTGATAGACAGATTTACAATTGATATATTATCCCTAAGATTCTTGCTGGTGCAGATACCTGTTGTCAAAGTCCACACACAAAAATCAAAGGCCATATTCACACAAATACAATACAAACTTCGTGTTGCCTAAGAAGCAACTCAAAGATTACAGAGTGAACCAGTATCAGAGACCAGATGGGGACCCATAAAGGCTGACCCCTTGCTCTTTAAACAATTTTCACATCAGATTGGACCACCATAGGCACCCATGAGGCCTACACATATGCATAAGTTTGTATAAATACATTAATAATTAATGTATATAATGTGAGCGAGGTGAGTTGAGCTGTGTCCTGGGAAGGGGGTCCCCTGGCTTACCTCATCTCCCAGGGCTCTTGTGGAGGCTCCTCCAGACAGCCCAGGGGTGGCCCCATGGTGTCAGTGGTGCCTCTGTCCAGCACGCTCACTGACTTGGCAATGGGGGGAACCACAGGCATCTCTCGCAGCTTCATCACCACCTCCTCCTCCTGCTGCTTGCTACCGCACCAGGGATGGAGGTGAACCTGGGAACAGGAGCGCCCAGCGGTCAGGCCAAATGTCACCATCTCCCCTTGCCACTCGGGCAGACCATTCCAGCCCAGCTGATGAAGAGACAGGAGCATCTGAGGCAGCAGATGCAAAGGGGATGCTGTTGCCTCTGTCATCCTTTCTGCTGGTACCAGCAGGGATTTAGCCTGTGGTCCCCTTGCTATCCCTAAAGCACCTACCTGCCATTGCTGAACTCCAGCCAAGTCCCCACAAAGTCATTTTGCATTCTGTTAAAACCCACTTTGTTCAAGTCCATAATTCTTTTTCTACTATTGACCTTCCTGCAGTCCCTCACTAGCCTCTCAGCCCAGATTTTCACATKTTCTTGGGACCCTAGATGCTCTCCAGCTCTCACAATTTATCACTGCTAGCACACTGTCCTTTATGAAGTTTGGCAGTACTCTCTCCTCTGCCGTGCTCCATAGCAGCTCTCGCCTGCTGAAATCACTTTGCTCAAAGCCATCCTCTACCATAGCTATGAACAGGGACAGATGGAGCAGGCAGACATGTCCGCCTTTCCTTAATGTCTTCTTGTTCTGCTCCTGGCCAAAGTACTAAGCCAGGACATGTTTGAACCAAGAGTGAAACCAACAGAGCTAATATCAGAGATACATCTGGCCCTATATCTGCGAGGCTGAAAAAGTGCACTGACCTGTTACTGCTTTTCCTATTTACAAAAGCTGTTATTCACCACCTCCTTCCTGCCTAACATGGCAAAAATCAAAACAGCTGCAATTCCTGTCACTCCTGCCAAGCCAAACAAGAGGGCAAGGTCTGGGCTCTGTTCCCGATGGCCAGAACAGCCCATTCCAGTTGCTTACACCCATGCAGACCCATGAAAGGAGACAAAGCTGCTCGGGGACCACTGAGCCATAGAAACACCATGCAGGACTTGACTATACCTAGAATTCCCAGGGGAGTTTGCACTTACTTGCATTGTGCAGGCGCTTAACGAATAGGTATATTTTACTAACTATAGTGGTATGTGCTTGGCCAGGTTAGGTATGTTTGACTGGTTGTTGGTATTTTCTTAGTCACAAAATACAGCAGGAGCCACTAGAGAATGCGGAAACTATTTAAAGAGGAGTTGCCCTGTTCAGCTACACTGGTGACATGAAGTCTACAGTACACACGCCATAATCATAACCTGGTGCTCAGCATCCTTGGGTCAAGTGCTACCCTGGACTTGCACGTGAGGAAGAACCATCCGGGAGCACCACCTACGTGCCATAAGCACAAGATCCACCAAGCTCATCYTGGGCAGGTTTGCTCACTTTTACCTCCGGCATCAGCCCCTCGTCGCTGTCATTGCTTCCTCCACCGTCTGTGCCATCCTCCCAGCCCTTCAGCTCCCCGTTTCTCACCTCGCCAGTCTCAGGGGACAGGGGACGTTGTCGGATGGGCGGCACAGGCTTGGACATTAGCAGGAACCTCTGGGAAGCCGACCTAGGCACAGCTGGCTTCAAGATAAGCCCCACAGGGTCACTGCTCTCCAAGAGGCCTGCRAAGCAGAGACCAAGCACAGGAGAGGCACCACTTCACATCCAGCACGCCTGAAGCTGGGTCCTACAAGGGCAGATTTCTTGGAAATTTGTAAATAGCTGCAGGGGGGTGGACAGGCTCGAGCATTACCTCTGCGTGACACTAAGAGGCCCTCTGACATCCTCCTCTTCTTCAGTTTGTCTTTGATCCGAGTGGTCTCTATGGTGGCGCTGCCCACCTCCATTTCTCTGCAGTCCTGCATCAAGGTCAGGCTAGGAAGCTGCGAGAGGTCACCTCTGGCCCTGTCATCAAGGTTTTCCAGGCTACTCTTGCCATCCAGGCCCACCAGAGGAGAAATGGTCCTGGGATACGAAGGCCTCCAATCTCCATCCCATGGGCAAGGCTGATTCTCCTCCTGGGTATTTAATGCAGGCTGAAGAGAAGCTGCAGATCAGATAGGAGGAATAAGCTGAGTTAGTGAACCTTTATCATCAAACCATGTGAGCAGTTCAAGGCATTAATTTTTTTCATCACTAGAATGATTGATCATTTTGTTTTTATTTATCTTAAAACTGCCATCACTTTCATTCTTATGAACCCTAATGAGTTAGCAAGCCAGGAAAGAAAGGTCAAGGGGCCCTCTGTTAGAAGGTAAAAAAGATCCTCATTGCTAGGCTTTGATTTCTGTGTACATTGCCACTAAAATCCAAAGAGGGCTGCTGGTATTTATGCCAAGCAGAAGGGACTTCCGGCAACAGGAGCTATAGGTGGTAGAGAATTAGCCTTATAGATGCCTTTGGCTGTGGATAGTTCTCTGAAAACATCATCTCAGTCCTGAGGCAGGAGTCAAGGGAGCAAAGTACAGGAAGGATTTAAATCATAACATATTGCTGCGTACCTGTACTTTGAATGATTTGAAAAGCTCGTTTACTTCCTTCCCTCAGAAAGGTAGGGTAAAATTAAAAAGGCACCAAGAAGGGAGCTATCTGCTGCAGCAGGTAATGAGAGAGTAACTGAATTCTCCCCTTCAGAAAAAAAAAAATATCATAAAGCCTATGGAAAAAGTAGAGCTGGGAATGCTTATCCAATGTTTTGTATGAGACTAAGGGTCATCGAAACGAGTGTCAGTCCAACTAAACCACAGTCAGAAAGGCTTAAAAAGACAAGAGGAAACCCTTTTCATACAGCACTACCAAGCTGCAGCACTCATTTCCACAGGATGCTGTGGGCACCAAACGTGTGCGCTGTAGCCAAGGCGTGGAAGTGTTATTTGCAGTGGTTCTGATACAAGTCATAGCTCCTCAGGTCTCTGCAGTGCTGAACCCCAACAGCTGTGAGGAGAAAGATTTGCCCTTGTTCTTCTATATCCGCTCATGTRTCTCCTCCTAAACTGATTCCAAGGTCTCAGAGGAGCCATTTGGAACTTTTGATCTGATCCAGGGCTATTCTTGTGCAACCAGGAGAGGTATCTCAGCAAACAGGGAAATACTGCCAGTGTTTCTCTAGCAGCTCCCCATCCTCAGAGTTAGAGCTGATGAGTGAGCAGAGAACGAATTGGGGAATTTACCTAGGGGAAGCCTGCACATCGATATCCAAGGTAGAAACAGAACCAGCACCTCATTATAATGCCTGATTTATGGCCAGTTGGGCCACAGTCTCCATTTTGGCTGTCAGTAGTGATTTGGCAATTGTTGCACTCTTGCAATCAAAGGATAAATCATAATGAACTTTGAGTAGATAAATGCAGTGCCAAGCATGCTGCTGGAGGAGGGCAGGATCATCTGCGGCTCTCCATCCACAACCTGCTCTGACACAGAGCCAGGCCTTCCAAAGACTTCTTCTCCTTCCAAACAGGCTTTCCTTTCAGCTAAGGACACCATCACTGTCAAYCTCTTCCTGCCCTCACCTTCTTCTGCTGTAGTCCATCTGCTGCCACAAAGCTGCAAGTTGGAATTGATGCCTCCTCCTTGCAGTGCTTGACATCTGGATTTGAATTTGGGGACACTCCCACAGTAGACAGCAACTGGGGCATGGTACTTAGCTTTAATATAAGGACAGTACCAATGACCTGAATTTGRATCATTTGAGAAAGAAAGAGGGTGCAAACAAACAAGAAACACCACCACGTTCCCCTCTTCCATATCAGTTTCTGACATACCAGGATAAACCTACAACTTTGGCCTCTGCAAAAGCCTCAATGGCTTCAGGCCATGATGTCCAGTGAAAAACTTGTTTCAATCTTTTGCCACCTGCACAATCTGCAAAATTACATTAGTTTTACTAGTTGCCTATGCAAGGCCACAGGATTCTTTTCCTCTCCTTTCTAATGGTAGATAACCCACAATTATCTCAAGAATTTGACAATGTCCAGTAATTATATGCTTCCCAAAACAAGTTCAAATGTTTCATCTTTTCTGTAATTCCCAGTCAAGTCTGTTGGTTGTTCTTGCAATTTCTCTACACAAGAAAGAAGTTATTAAGACACAAGAAATCAGTCACCAGCTTTTTTTAAGAGAACTCTGTATTAGATGTCCCTAGTATTTAGGATGAGGTACTTGAGTAAAACCACTGCTGCGTGTAAACTTCTCACCAAAACTTTCTRCTTTGTTCTGTTTCACTGTATTGGATTTTACTCCCTTTTGTTACTGCAGAGACCCCTAAAGCAGCATAAATTTAGCTAGTCTCAGAAAAAAAAAAATATAAAAAGAGAGATTTTGTGTGCTGCTGAAAGGTCAAGATTATGCACCCCATATCTTCCCCTCCCTTATCCTGGACAGCCTCTTCCCCATCTTCCTCACACTCCCTTGGAGYGAAGCATAGGCCAGCTCTTGCCAGCACAGCCATCATCTCTGATGACGATGATGATGACAGGCACCGTGAGCAGGGCTCATCATCCCTGGTGATAGTGATGGGCACATTGAGCACGACTATCTGCACACCTGAGCTGGGCAGCAGTGCTGGCCCCAGGCACAGCCACTCTGGACTAATGCCCTCTGGATAAAGGCAGCAGGAGTGGGATTGCAACAAACCCCTAGCCCAGCACCAGCGCTGAAGGCGCCCTGGCCCTCTGCAGACCTTTACCTGCTGCGGAATCAGCGTGCGTCTCCRTGTGCGCACGGCGATGAGCCCTCTGCAGCTGGGAGGCTCCCCGACGAGGTGCTGGCGATCTGCCCCAAGGCAGCTGATGGCGGGATGCCTTCCTCATTGGATACCTGCATGGAAAAACAAGGTTGCTAAATATGGCTCCCTGGCATCAACTTCCCCGCATGAAGGGACTTGTGTGTGAAACGTGGGATGAAACCACTAGAGACAAGCAGAATTGAAAAGCAATAGCATAAAAATGTATTTAAAAAAATACATTTTCTACATGCTGTCAAAACTCCATCCAGGAAGCCCAAATGCTGCTGGGACAGTGTCACCAGCATGACAGCGGTGAGCATGACTCCTGCAGCAAGCGCTCCAGCACAGCTCGCACCTCTCGGCTCTGCTGCAGCTTCCTGGACCTGCTCCATCCAAATCACTGCTCCTGCTGCAGCTGAACCAAACATTTCAGACCTGACAGCAACGAGCCAAATGCATTCCTGTTGTAAATCTGCACTACACAGAGAGCAACCASCTCACTGAGGAGAATTGCTACCTGTTTCCAAGAGGAACACATCTATGYTTTAAGGGAGTGAGGTGGAACATCTGGCTACCAGCATCGGAGACCTCTGAGCAACCATTACTCAGTCTGATAAGCAAAAACTGTCCAGAGAACTTTCCACCAGTGTGCAGGATTTTTTTTCCCCAATAAGASGGGTAGATAATGTTTTATGGTACCTCTATGAGTAATTCTGACATACAACTTGAATCATAACGTAAGCACTTCCAAATCTGTCACCCATTTAGAAAGGAAGGAAAAAAGCACTTGAAACAACTGCTGCTGCAGCTGCACTGCCTGCATTTATAGCATAACTGAGGTGTATATAACAGTTACAACACCTTGGAAAGCCTGAGGCTACAACATGACCTATATTTAGGGAACCTTGCAAGCCAAAAGCTCTATGCACGCTCACACATGCAATTGTGCTTCCCAAAGACTATTGGAGCTGTATGCCATGTTATAGCRCACAGGGTTTACCAGGGTAAAGGAAGTTTATGGTTAGTATTTAAGGTTAGTGCTACAGCAAAACATTAACTGTGGTCAGCGTAAGATCCCTGCAGCCCATGTCCTTACCCATAGTCTGCTTTCACTCCAGAATGCCTTTCACCTGCTCACTGAGACTGCAGTCACCACACAAAGCTTTGGCTTCCTTAAGCATTTTAGTCATTTCTTATAAATTAATTGGAGAGGTAAAAGGAGATTTTCCAGGCCAAACCACACTGCCTCTTTATTTTAGGGTACATCAGCAGTTAAAATTCCTATAAACATCAATGAGATCACAGAGACCTCAACATGAACTGGAAAACCCCACTTGTTGAGAGCTATAATGTTCTGGAATAAGAGTTTCTATCACCTGGCAGCCCAGTGCAGACAAAGGAGTCAATCACGCATAGTTCAGTTAAACAGAAGAACTATTACAGAAGAAAATATGCCTCTGAGCTTGGTTGAAGAAGCAAAAGCAGGTGCATACTCATGTATTCTTTCAGTTTAAAACAAATAACAAAAAATGCCTGTGCAAGAACTTTAAGTACCCTACTATCAATCAAACTTATAGACAGAGAAAAGAGTACCCTCAAGCCAAATACAATAGAAAAGGTTCTTATTATAGCACAGCCCTGCACAGCTCCACCCCCTGCCTAGGATATTCAGCTCTTCTCAGAAGCTTTCAAATGCTTCACAATGCCTTCAAGATTTTACCTAGAGTAAAGCAAGTGTTTTCTGATAGCCTGGAGACAGTTAACCCACTTTTGGCTTTAACCAGTGAAGAAACACTCAAAAAGTCATCTTAAAGTCAAGYACTGAAAGCTTAGGACAGAAGACTACCAATACCATTGACTTGTTCTATAATACAGGTCTCTCCATGACTCAATTTTATTAATCTGCAAGGTTGTTCTAGTAAACCCTGGCATAAGACAAATCATAATTAGGAAGGGCATCACTTGCATCATTTCCATAGTCACTGAACTGGCTAAAGTCAGGAGACAGTTCCTAAGTCAGATTAATTTTAGCTGATATGGACAATTCCAGCTGTACAGCTATTCAGGACCTGCAGTGGTGACTGCAAAACAATTTCTCTGCAGCCAGGTGTGCAGAATTCAGCTCCTATCACTAGTGACACTGCAGAAAATAACCTGATGGCCTTCTCTGTACCTGAGAACARTAGTGACACTGGTGCATCACTGTGTGAGAAAAGCTGTTTTCTCACACAGGAAAATAAAAAGGGAAAWTTTTCAGAGAGAAATAAAGTACATCTTTCACTGGAAAGATCTTGCAAGACGAATGYTCCCACCAAGAGCTCCCGCAAGGGCTGCTTTTCAGCAGAGCCGGGGTGCCCAGCCATGAAACAGGAGTTACCGCAAACCAGAGGCTTGCCCAGGGCAGCACACCGGCCTTTCAGAATAAGCTGCTCTGGATGCCAGGGCTCATTAGCTCCCTCAGTGGTAACCAAAAGGCACTGGGACAATGGCCCATTCCAGCATTAATGAGGTGTTGCGCTGGCCACCGCGGGCACTTGTGCTCTGCACGTAAGCGGGCGCCCGCCGAGCGCCACGACCCGCTGCGCTGGAGCTGCAGCTGAGCRCCGGCGCTCACCACAGGCCGGTGAGGGATGGTACCTCGGGCACCAGAGGCTGCAGGACTCCACAGGGAGCTGGGAAGCCTGAAGCAGCTTGCCCAGGAGCAGGGCTTCTGCTCAACGCATGAGTATCCACCTTGCGGTCAAGGCGCTTTGAAGAAAGCCTTTAAACGCCCTTCACCCCCCTCAGGCAATTAATACTGTTGTGGTGGATTGCACTGGTAAAAATCATCAGCAGCTGCTTCTTAGAGAGTTCAGGGTTTTCAAAGGGCACATTAAATGTCTCAGAAACAGCTCTAGATGCTAGACTTCCAGGCAGGTCCTGCCAGTGTTCGGCTCACTTCCTCACGTGCTCCCAGAGTATTGCGTGGCTGCAACAATTTATCCACAGAACAGCTCATCTCTCAGTGCCTTTCCTTCTGTTGCCTTGAAAAGAGTGGTCTCTGTCCCCAAGCTCCCAAGCAAGTCTTCTACACGCTGCAATGAATAAACTATGTTCACAGGGGGTTTGGTCCCAGCGGGGCCCCACGTACTGGACCACACATCTTTCCTGGAGGTGCAGACAAGTCCAAACAGCAGCAGGGCTTCACAGAGAGCTGCAAAAATCCAAGATGATTTTCCTGAGGGCCTTGTCCTTTTTCTGTGCAATAATCAGGCAGGGAAATTGTCAATGATCTGAAGCAATTTCACTGAGCTGTAATGTGGGATTCAAGCTTTATATTGAAATTTTTCATTATGAGTAAGAAGCGCTGGGAGCACAAAGTGCAGGGCTGACATGCRAAAGCGGGAGCATATCCTCTAATGAAACCAGTTTAATTGTCCATTTTATTACTCTTATATCTATTCTGCTAAGTCCCAATGCCGTTCTTAGTGCAGTATGAACCTCAAAATACAACAGTTCCCACTCTTCAGAACTTATTCCCYGGTCCTTTAAGTATTTAAGCACCACTCTGACTTGTTCAGGGCCTAGCTCCCCCATGCAAGCAGCACTCCAACTTTCCCAGCCTTCATTCAGCTACCACCTAACGTCACAGGTATTAAAATCTCCAGAACATCCAGGTGGCCACAGACTGGTTCCTGCTTGGCACAGACACCACCTGCAGTGACCAGCTGCTTTGGGCCAAGGGCCAGAGCCCCTGGATGACTGAGACCAGGACCTTTGTGCACCTGGGATAAATATCCCTTCTCCAGCACCTCCCGGCCTCTCCCTGGCATGAGCTGGRGTGCTCAGAGCAGTGAAGGAGCAACAGGCCACCAGAGTGACCCTTGCAGCTCATAGAGATGAGGTGAGGGGGCAGTGGCTTGGCTCACCGGCCTGAAAGAAAACAGCAGATATTCCCACCATTCTCGTGTCCAGCACCTGAAAGCAAACCAAATTGAAGACAGCACAGAAAGRGGAGGTCATTGGAAGCAACACTAGCTCTGCTGCTGATTCACTG